AGGAGGCTGAGGTAGGAGAATTGCTTGAACCCGGGAGACAGAGGTTGCAGTGAGCCGAGATCACACCACTGTACTCCAACCTGGGCAATAGGGTGAGACTCCATCTCAAAAAGAAAAAGAAAAAAAAAAGAATAAAAATAAAAATCAATGGAGACAAATAGTTCAAATAGATGCAAATAAAAAAATATGGTCAACTAGTTTTCAACAAATATGCCAAGGTAATTTAACAGGGAAAGGATAGTGCTTTCAACAAATGATGTTGACACAATTAGAATTTATATAGAACACAATGTTTTAAATAGACAAAAGATTTTTTTAAAGTTTATTAAAGAAGATATAAGGATGACAAATAAGCATGAGAAGATATTCAATATTATTAGCCATTAGAAAATGCAAATTCAAAACCACATTACATATTATTCACAACTACTATAATGGGTAATATTTAAAAAGACTTACAATAGCCGGGCGCAGTGGCTCAAGCCTGTAATCCCAGCACTTTGGGAGGCCAAGGTGGGTGGATCACGAGGTCAAGAGATCGAGACCATCCTGGTCAACATGGTGAAACCCCATCTCTACTAAAAAATACAAAACATTAGCTGGGCATGGTGACGCGTGCCTGTAATCCCAGCTACTCAGGAGGTTGAGGCAGGAGAATTGCCTGAACCCAGGAAGGCAGAGGTTGCGGTGGGCCGAGATCACACCATTGCACTCCAGCTTGGGTAACAAGAGTGAAAATCCATCAAAAAAAAAAAAAAAAAAAGACTTATAATACCAAGTGCTGGTAAGGATGTAGAACAACTATAAATTTCATACATTGCTAGAGGGAATCCAAAATGCCACTGCCACTCTGGAGAAGATTTTGGCAGTTTCTTTAAAAGTTAAAGGCATGGTGGCTCACACCTGTAATCCCTTGCACTTTGGGTAGCCGAGGCGGGTGGACTGCCTGAGCTCAGGAGTTCGAGACCAGCCTGGGCCACATGGTGAAACCCTGTCTCTACTAAAATACAAAAAATTAGCCAGGCATAGCAGCATATGCTTGTAGTCCCAGCTACTTGGGAGGCTGAAGCAGGAGAATTGCTAGAACCTGGGAAGCGGATGTTGCAGTGAGCGGAGATTGGACTACTGCCCTCCAGCCTGGGCAACAGAGTGAGAATCCGCCTCTTAAAAAAATAAACAAACAGTTAAACATACACTTACTATATGATAGAGCAGTCCATTCCCAAGAGAAGAATATGTGCGCATAAAGACCTGTATATAATGTTTACAGATGTTTTGTTCAAACAGCCCAAAACTGGAAGCAAAATAAATGTCTATTAACTAGTGAATGGATAAACAAATTGTGGTACATCCATACAATGGAATGTAAAAAAAAGGAAAGAGCTACTGATACATCCAGCAACGCATCTCAAAAGCTTTGTATTAAGTGAAAGAGGCTAAATACAAAATACAAAATACTGTATGATTCCATTCATACGACATTCCTTAAAAGGCAAAAAAACACTATAGAGATAGAAATCAGATAATGGCTGCCAGGACTGAGAGTGACAGAAGAGATTGTTTACAAAAGGAAAAGGGCCAATAGGGAGCTTTGGAGAATAATGGAAATGTCCTGTTATCTTCACTTTGATGATCCTCATTATATGACTATATATATTTAGTAAAACTCTTTGAACTATACACTTAAAATGGTGAACTGTGTTGCATATAAATGCGACTTCAAAAAATTCATTTAAAAAACAATTGAACTTGTAATAAGGAAATTTACCAGGGTCCAATATAAAGAACAATCTGAAAAACGAAGAGGTAAATGCACTTGTTGATGCTACAGCAATCCAGGTGGTATGAGAGGGAGGCAAGATCTACTCCTCTCTGTAACCAAAGGGTTTGCATTTTAAGTGGAGATGGAAATGAAGTGTGGGATCTTGAGAGGTTTTGGAGTTGTGACAACCCCAAATATAGACATAAAACTGGTACCCTTAAAGGACTATATATTTAATAAAATGGTAGTTACGACACAATTTACCACAAACATAGGGCAAAAACAAGGAAGCTTTTCTTTATTGACTTAGGCTTTAAATTAAACAAAACACAACACAACAATAACAAAACACCTCTGCAATGATCATTTACGGTGAGGATTTCAGAACAACGATATTTCTGGTGTGCCTAGCAGAAACAATCCCAAAACCTCTATGGGAGGACACTCTCAACCCAAGCACACACACTCCCCTGAAGTCTCACTATTAACTCAGAATCCAAGTTTGCAGCACAAAGAACACAAGGTAGGACACAATCTACCTTGGCTGAGAATTGGGAGATTCAATAATATTAGAGCACACTCCATAAGAATTTCAGATAGCTGAGCTAACAGAGACTATTAGACTAACTAGACAGTAAGATTAAACAGACTAATAGACTGCATAGAAAATTAGACTAAAAAATACACATAAATAAAAACCCTAAGAAATCAGAGGAAAACTCATTAAAACCATATTGTAATAAAGTAAACATGCACCTAAATAGTTAAGATGAAAACATAAAACACTTTGTGCTGATAAGAATGTAGAACCACTAGAATTCCCATATGCTGCTGGTACAGTAACTGTGACAAACTGCTTGCAGTATCTTCTAAAGCTTAACATATACTCTACAACCTAGATTCCACTCTTAGAAATATCCATCAGAGGCCGGTTGCAGGAGCTCATGCCTGTAATCCCAGTATTTTGGAAGGCTGAGGCGGGCAGATCACTTGAGGTTAGGAGTTTGAGACCCAGCCTGGCCAATATGATGAAATCCTGTCTCTACCAAAAATACACACACACACACACACACACAAATAGCTGGGTATGGAGGCATGTGCCTGTATTTTCAGCTACTCAGGAGACTGAAGCATGAGAATTGCTTGAACCTGGGAGGCAGAGGTTGCAGTAAACCAAGATTGTACCACTGCACTTCAGCCTGGGCAACAGAGTGAGACTCTCTCAAACCAAACAAAACAAAATTCCAACAGAAATGTGTGCATGTTTACCAGGAGACAAGTACTAGATTGTTCATAGAGGCATTATTCAAAATACCCAAAATTGAAAGCTAACCAAGTGTCCATCATTCAGTAAAACAGGTCAACAATGGTAATAAATGAATACTAAACAATTATGATGAACAGGAAGTGGGGCCTTTGGGAGGTAATTAAATTTAGACAAGGTCATGAGGTTGGAGCTGCCATGATGGGGTTAGCATCCCTGTGAGGATGAGACACGGTCCCTGTCTTGGCCATATGAGAACACAATGAGAAGGTAGCCCTCTCCAAGCCAGTAAGACAGTCCTCACAAGAACCCAACCACACTGAGCCCTGATCTCAGACTTCCAGCCTCCAGAACTGTGAGAAACAAATATCTATTAAGTCACTCAGTCTATGACATTTTGTCATAGCAGCCCAAGCTAAGACAGCCACAATATGGAAGAACCTCAAGATTGTAACTCTGTGCAAAAGCAGCCAGATATAAAAGAATACAAATCACAGACTTCTATTTATATGCAGCTATGAAGCACAACAGACAAAATTACTAATATATAATGTTACATGAAACACTAATCTATAATCTTCATGGAGCAGTAGGGGCTTCTGGAGGGCTTAGTAATGTTCTGCTTCTTGACTTGGTTGCTGGTTATAGACATGTTTGGTTCGTGAAAATTCACTAAGCTATACGGTTACGTGCGATTTTCTGTATGCATATAAAATATCAAAGTAAAAAATATATGCATTTTACTGAAACCCTAAGGAAAGAATAAGATTAACACATGAAAAAAGAAGAGGTGGATTTTAGAGGAAAAAACTTGGTGTTGAAATAAAAACAAAAGGCCCAGCATGGTGGCTTAAGTCTGTAATCCGAGCACTTTGGGAGGCCAAAGTGAGAGGATCACCTGAGGTCACGAGTTGGAGGCCAGCTTGGCTAACATGGTGAAACCTCGTCTCTGCTAAAAATAAAAAATAAATTAGCCAGGCATGGTGGTGCATTTCTGTAATCTCAGCTATTCAGGAGGCTGAGGCAGGAGAATGGCTTGAACCCGGGAGGCTGAGTTTACAGTGAGCTGAGATCACGCCACTGCACTCCAGCCTGGACAACAGAGAAACTGTCTCTAAATAAATAAATACACAGAGTGACTGGAATAAATATATGATTGTTAAAAGACTAAATAAAAATAGCAAAAGGAATTCATTATCAGGAAAAAAGACTGGAGGAAATTCCCCAGTATGCAGCACAGTGGGATAACGAGATGGAAAATATGAAAGAGTAATTAGACACCGAATAAAATGCAAAGACTCTAGAAGAGATGCAATATCCAAAGAAGTAAAGGATGGGAACTGATAAATATAAAAATTCAGGTTCATGAGGAATGAGTTCCGGAGCAAAATAATTACAAATTATTTACACTTGGAAGCCTAATATTTTAGTGTTGGAGAGATTCTTCAAGATGGACTAGTCTGTCTCCTTCGTTGTAACAATGAAGAAACTGAGACCCAAACAGATTAAGTGATTCACCTAGGATCAACAAGTTGACTAATGGTAAAGACAGAAATAAAGTTAATAGCATTTTAAGGGTTATGGATAAGAACAAAATAATTTCTGAATTTCAACCTTCCGACTATATCACTGTTTATAGCAGCAATCTGAAGATATTGCTGTTCATAAAGAGAATTTAACTCACACATTAACAAATGAAGGCACTGCTGATTCAACTGCCTTAACAAATGTGCTTAATAAATAGTATTTAATGAATAATTAGGACAAACTAGAGCTTTGCCCATACACACCTTAGAGAAAGAAATTGTTTCAAGACAATCCCTCTATTTAACTACAAGGCCATTATACTCATTTCAGTGCATAAACCTCGTATCTATTCTCTTTTCCTCCATCTAAATGTTTCAGCACTTTAGAGTGCTTTTGAATCACATCTTTTTCTATTATATACATCATGATATAAGGTAAATTACTTACTTTCTTTGAAACAGAACAATTCACCATCTAGTTGAACCTCAAAATGTTCACTGTAAATCTGATAAAAATTTCAATCTGGTCAGGGGGCATAAAATGTACTGATGAACTGATACAAAGCACTCATACTTAATACAGTAAATCACTTCTGATGATGAGTCAGTGGCTTGTTTTAATTCAACTATTTAAGAAAAAAGACCTAGTAAGTACAGGTAGAAGAAAGTGTGTTTAGCCCTTATTCACATTTCAAAACTCTGAATTCGCAGAGAGTAAATTTCTGTTATGTAAAATTCCTGGATTTTGGGACTATAAATAGTAGTATGACTTTTAATAACTTTTAGGGCAATAGTTTTCAGAAATATAAAAAAAAAGTGTCAAAATGAAGTGATCTGGTATATTTCAGGTTGAAACATTTTTAGGATTTTTAAAGTCTTTTATCTTTCTCTTACAAGTAAAACAACTTTATTATGTCATGAAGGTTTAGACCCAGAAATATATAAGACACAGAAATTTTTTAATATTTTGATTAAAGTGAAAAAAAACCCTGAGTTGGTATTTAAATACCAGACTATCGGAAGAAAGCTAATTTGTTTTATGAATAAGTCTTGAACTTTTCAGAGTATCTCAATCAGTTTCAGCTGCTTATGAGAGTTAATAAGATTTTAAAGTTCCAATAAATTTTAAACTTTTCATACTTTTTAATGTGACAATAATAAAAGGGGGAAGAATTAGAATGAGCAAACTTAGCAAGAATTAAAATTAATTCTAAAAGGACAACAAACCATGAAAAATTCTTCTATCAAGTATTTACGACATAAATAACTCATGCAAATATGTATAGAAACCATTAAGATATTTATTTATATAAATGAACAAAGTATACAGACAAATCATACAAAAGCAAATCAGAGAAACTTTGATTTTTCTCCTATATTGACTAAATTAGCAACCACATATAAAACCCCTAACTCAAATGGTATCACTGTAAAATGTTACAACTCTTTGGGAAAGCAATAAGGCAAACATAAGTCATAAAATTCTTCATGTTATTTCATTTAACAGTCCCCACCCCCCAGGAATTTATCCTAATAAAATTAAAAACTACTTAAGTATTCATCAATAGAGAAATGGTTTAAATAAAAGTATGAAGCAATATAATTAAAATAACCATTATCACAACTAAATACACACAGATAATATCAAATGAAAAAGTTAAAAGTATAGGTGCCTTAAGACTATGTGAACAACAAAAAGGGAAATATAATATAAAAATTAAAATTCTAAAGTTAGTACATTAAGAGATAATGATATTTTTCCCATTTGGCAAAATCTCCTTCGATGTCTTAAATATAAAAGAAAAATGTTGGCTATTGTTTTTTAAAATTTGTCAACCATCTCTACTCCTCTATTAGCAAACTCTATGTGTCAACTTTTAAGTTGAAAAATACAGCAGAAATCCCACCTATGTATTCTAAAACCTAAGTATGTTTCTATTTAGACTTTAACTTGCAATGAAGAGGACATATCGTAACCTGTGCCATTCCAACAGGCGGGTGTGTCTGCTGCCACCTTTGACTGACACACACTATGGGCACTAGATATGAACAAGTTAAACTGTAAATTTTCATTTTATAATTCTGTGTGTTTGGTATTTTATGTTAATGCATCATGGTATTCATGCTCTTTTTCCTTACAATTTTGTCTCATACTAAGAATTAGTTTTAATGTTTTCATTTAAAATACGTTGCCAATATGTTGAAAATGCCATAATGATGACATAATTTTTTACACTGAGTTCAAAGTGGGTTAAGCAAAATAAAAAGTTAGTGCAGAGCAGGAAAACACCTTTAAAAAGAAAGGCAAAGCACAAAAATCTAAAACTTGTATTTTATGACATTTCTCATGAGTCTTCCTTTGGAAACTGTATTTGAGTAAAGGAAGAGGGATTTGAATGTTTCTAAAGACTGGCTGCATTCTGTATTCAACTATGTTATTGCTTTCCCATAACAAAAATATGAAACATTCATTATATATGAAGTTTACTATTTTATAATGTGGCTACATTTAAAAATTATGGTAAAGACGGATAGGGAACTTTCAGAAAGCTATCTGAATGAAAATGTTTGAGAAGAACTGTTTTTAAATATTTAGAGCAGAAGAGATTAGCTGGAAATGCAGGGCAGCTATGGCAGCATCTATAAATATCTCTTGAAAGAGCAAACTAAAGAAACAATGTCACAGGGATAATGCTCTATAAAGAGACATAAATAAATGCTAAAGCATAAAGAAAAGTTTTTAGTTGAAGACACATTCTTTAAATTTTAAAAATTGTTATTTAATAACTTGGTACAAAGTGCTTGACCATGTTGAAATTACCATGAAAATATCTCATAGCTGCCACAATACAAAACTATAGGAGCTGAAGGTGCTCTAAAGGTAGGAAGGTGACTTTAATTATTAGTCTTCTATTTACATCCTCTTAGTGGTAGCAGCAATAATTTGGTTCATTTACAAATACTATAAAAGTTTATTCGTTTCCAAGATCTAAACAAACACAGGTATTACTAGATAAGGGGCGTTTTATCAAAGAAATATTTTTAATAATAATAAACTCTCCAAAACATAAGAAAAAAGTCAATAATGGCCATTTCAAACAAAGTAAAGAATTTCAATAAAATGAAGCCACCAGGAAGCCTAAATAAAGTAAAAACACTAAATTATATTTACTTTTATCAAACTAAAGAAACATGGAACTCATACATTATTTCTTTGATTAGGAAATTTGTTCAACTTTTTCACAAGACTGAAGACAGATCAAATTCAGAAATTTAATTTTCTTGAATCCAATCATATTCACATTTTCACGATATAAAAAATCCTAAAAGAACATTCCACAACACAGCAAACAACTGAACAACTGCGAGGCCATTTATAAGGCATAGCAAATAAATTATATGCTATTGAAACTGTAAATGATAGACATTTTTCTTCATGCAAAAAAAACGTTAAGAATACTGTTTGTCTTTTGAATGTAGCTTGCCATTCTGCATCTGCACAAAGGGATTCAAATGTCAACTAGAAAATGATGATATTTCCAGGCCAATCTCAACACGTCTTAATTACATCATCTTCTCCCTTTGGCTCATTTAGAGTTATATGTTCACAGCTCAAACCCTGTTCATTAGACTTCTCAGGTTTTGATTTTTTAAGTGCCAACTCTGCTGGGAAAAGAGATGAGCAATGCTCAAGAGACTGTGCAATGTCATCAATTGTCCATTTATCTTCAGGAAGGGCATGCTCTTCTAGCGTAAATGGCCCCTGTTTCGTTCGGGTCAGCTCTAGCACATTGGCACAGGAAGACAGTTCTATAGCAACAAAAGGTGGGAAAAAAATCCAGAAGATAAATGATTCAATATTTCATAGTCTATAATTGTTCAAATGACCGAACTCGATTCAAATATCTCAAAACCACCCAAAAATAAAATAATCCAATGTAAGAACCAAGAGCCTTGAGATAAAGACACAAGTAGCAAAATAATATTTAATAATTCACCTTATAAGCTGCTGTAAAATCAACAAAGAACTTGCCCACAGTTTTGTCATTTAACTCATGAAGCAACTTCATGGAGTAAAGATTACCGTCACTTTACAGATGAGATCATATGACCTGTCCAGTGTGACAACTGCTAGTAAATGGCAGAGCCAGAACCAAAACCTTCTGGCTATTTGTAAGACTACGCCTTCCAGTTTTTAAAAAATTTGAAAATAACTTTCACAAGGTTAAATCTTTCTTTTTTTCTTCTGATCCCTAGTTTGAGTTAAAATCTTTTGTACTTGCAAAAATGTCAGCCCTACATTCATTTTTCCCGTCTTCATTTTCTGTTCTCTCTTTCTCTTCTTTTCCATTACAAGCGTTTCACTGCAGCTGCTGAGGCTGATAATTGCATGCCAGAAACCAACAATGCTTTTAAAGCTGAAGGCAGCAAGAGTTCAGTTCCTAAGGCCAGTACTCAGAAATAAGAAAAATGGAAAATTCCCTCTTCCCACTGAAAAGGAATATTACTCTCTAAATGATAATTCGTAATTCATTTTTATGCTTACCTTTTCCAATGTCACTGACCAAGCTTCTGATATAAAAACCTCCTCCACATTCAACATCTAGAATGTTAACAGTGACATGGTAAATTGCTAACCTCCTATGAAATCCACTTTACATAGAAATGATGCCCGTAAACAAATGTAAAAATGCACTATGCAAACAATTGAGTGATAAAATATTTATGCACTAAAACATAAATTATTCATCCAGTAGCATATGTGTTTGTGAGATTGAAAAGTCAGAGTGTGGAGAAAGCAAATAGCAGAAACTCATGAACACATTTTAAATTAACTGGCAAGTCATACCACTTTAGTACTTCAGCCTTGTTCATTTAATAGGTTTTAAATAGTTAGAAATCTCAGCTTTGCTATCATGAACTGTAGATTTAAAAAAATATTTTCAGATTTGTATGCCTTGTTCATTTAATAGGTTGTAAATGTTTAGAAATGTAGTTTTGCCATCATGAGCTGTAGATTTTTAAAATATTTTCTGATTTATACATTCAACCAAAAACCAACCAACCAACCAAAAACCCCTTCTCACAGCAACAAGAATTATGTTTGGGGTACTGTACTACTCACGAAGAACTCAGCATATTTAAATGTTCTTTTGGAAATACACCTGAAGTAATCACAAAACAGCTTAAAATTACACAATGTCCCAGAACTGAATGTAAATCTAAATTTCTTCTTAACACAATCTAACACAAGCTTATTGGTTAAGAACAGGACTCTGCATTATTTTTATTCATCAGTAAGACTTCCTGAAAAGAGCTGCCACATTTCCACACAAAAGGACTATATTCTAGCTGCTTCTAGTCTTACTGGTACAAAGAAAGCCATTTGGGGGAATTAATCAAAACTCACCACCTGAGAATTTTAATAACCACCCTCCCCTCCCTCGCTTTCTTTAGTCAGCTCATGGTTGGGGGCCACTACTGAGATTGAAAGTGGGCACTGGGAGGAAATGCAGGTGTACCAGAATTCTTGCATTACATTTGACATGGGTGAAAAAATACCTTTTGGCCTGTTATTGCTCTCCCTAGTCAATAGTCAATAAAATAGTTTCAACTTCAATACAATCTGAAAAATCTGAGTTTTTCTTGCTTTCATAGAGAATATCTACTCTGTCAAACCAGCTGCTTCATTTTCATGGAATGGAGCACAACATTTTTAAGTGTGTTTTTTTCATTATCTGTCAAATATTTTAGAAGCAGGAACCTGAAGAAACAAAGTGACTTTTTTTTTCCCTAATGGTACAAAATCATATCCTGCAGAAACATAACACAGATAAAACAATAATGCCAATAGAAAAAAGCAGTAAGTTTAGGTTAAAAGGTTTTGGGACATTATTTCTAAAATGAATCCCATTCAGTATGCACTTAGGAACTACAGCTTTGGATTCTTCATAGCTCTTATATGTTTACAACTTTCTGCAGCCAGACCATAAGTTTCCAAACAACAGAAATGAACTTTATAGTCTTTACATTTATTTCAAATATGTATTAGAAATTAAAATTCATAACTTGAACTAAAAACGTGACCATGCCTTACCCATATTTTTCCATATTTACAGGATCTTTAATAGTAACTTAAAGGTGGTAAACAAGGGGGTGAGGGGTTTCTTGTTCAAAAACTAAAAATGCTTTGTTTTCAATTGACAAATTAATGCCAATTCTAAAACTGAATGTATCGAGTACTAATCAAAATGGGAGGAAAAGCATCCAAAAGATAATAAAATCTAAAATTTAAGAAGTATATACTTCTTACGCTTCTCTATAGAGATCTAAAGTATGTTACTTTCAACTTTATAGTAAGATAACACAATACAATACACGAAAAACTCAGCCTAGTTAGAAAGGCATTTCTGAATCTTCAGATAGCTACAGGAATCTCATTAAATGTGTTACCAGAAAAAGGTATAAAGAAATCCTAACTTTCCTTAAATTCAATTTTTTAAAAATCTCCAACATCCTACAGATCTATTAAAATGACACAAAAGTAGCCAAATACGAATTAAAAGTACATGTAACTACAAATGATTTCAAATTTCTCCATCTTACCTAATGTGAAAAATGGTGGCTGGAATTTCTGAAGGGAGATACTGTATACAGTCACTGGCCTGGCAGGTTTTGCTTCTACAACTTCACCTCTCTTCATCAAAGTTGAAAGTCTCTGTCCATCTTTCTTTAATGCAGAATAGCTTGTGAGATGGGAGAAAGGGAAAGAAAGGAGAGCAAGAATTGAGGGGGATTTGGAAAGATTGCGAGATGATAATTCCAGATTCTGGTATGGAAAGGAAGGATGACTGGCAGTGCTTTACAGTGAGAATCTTTCTAAAAAATGAATGAGTTTTTAATTCTAATCTACTCCACAATGCTGTCATGGAGAGAGTTTCTAAATATTTCTAAGGCGGACATAACCTAATTCTGACACTCAGTAAACAGTGTTGCCAATTTTGTTCTTTAACCACCTTTTTGGAGATGGTCTATTCATGTCTTCTCCTTAGTGGTCCTCATTCTGTGTTAAAGGCACAAGGAATTTAATAGACTCTGGTCATAATAATCTCAGCTATATTTCCTTTAAACAATCTCTACTATAATATTCATTTTTATATGTTACCAAAGCATTTCTAAGAAGCTAATAAGCAAATAATCTACTAAGCGTATCTTAGCTTTTCATGATAAAATTTTACTGGAAAACAAAATCCTTGGAATAATCACAGAAAATATTAAAACAATTCTTACAAGCAAATATAAATAAAATTTATTTTAACAACAATCCAAAAGAATGTTTATGTAGATCTTGCTAAAATTTTTAAATTTTTACATTTGAGGCAAAATCATGAAAAGGTATCTCTTCAGAGATATTTCAATGTTCCTGGAAAATCCCAAGAATTTAAATACAAAATAAATACTAAATTCTAAAAGAAGTCAGAAACTTATCCCGACATATCCTATAATCGATTCGGCCATTTTTAAAAACAGGCAATTTGCTTGAAATGGTAATGTGCAGGAAAATATGGCTATAAGGTATTATGATCTGAATGTCAAACCTCAAAATTTATATGCTGAAATCCTAATGCCCAAGGTGATGATATGAGAAGGTGGGGACTTCTGGGAGGTAATTAGGCCGTAGGGCACAGCTCTCATGAAAGAAATTAGTGCGCTTATAAAGAGGCCCCGGAGAGCTGCCTTGTCCCTTCTACCATGGGAGGACAGGGTAAGAAGGTGCCATCTGTGAAAAAGCAGGCCCCCCCACAACACCAAGTCTACTGCACTGTGATCTTGGACTTCCCAGCCTCCAGAACCGTGAGAAATAAATTTCTGTTGTTTATAAGCTACCCAGTTTGATATTTTGTTACTGGAGCCCAAACAAACTAAGACAAGCGGTAAAGCAATATACTTATATTTTTAATAAGTTATAACTCTCACTGGTTTCGCTGGTTGCAGAGAATAGCGAAGGCAAAGATTCTGCCCAGTAGGAATGGTCCCAGCACCTGATAGGCAGTGCACATTAGGACTCTGACTTCCCTCCTAGACTGGACTGGTCCCTTCACAACAGTTCTAGGAAAAGGGACATCTCTGGGCTCCAGAACTGCCCTGATGTCTGTTGACAGAATCAGAAAAGCCAATAAACACTGTAATAGCACAGATGCCAGGCTGTGGCCACACCCAGAAACAAAGTAGACCACATTTCACTGCCTCTTAGGGAGTGTCAAAAGCTCCACATCCTGTCTCACCTTTACTTGAACATTTGCCACACCAGATTTAAAACCTGCCTTGCCATATGGCAAGAGGAAGCCCATGTATTTTAATTAGAGTGATGTTAACCACTGGAAAAGAAAAGTAAACATTTATCCAAATTTACTAATTGAACTTACAGGGGGGGCACTTGCATTATATTCCCAGTAAATTTCTGTAGAATGCCTTCAATATCTTCTTGTGTTATTTTATCTGTCAAAAATCAACAAAAAAGACACTAAAACAACCACAGAAGTACATGTACTATCTTCACAGCACCAACAGCCCTGAAAATTCATTTAAAAATTCTTCCAACAAAGCATGTATTACAGTATATGTTCTATAGCCCAAATTCTACCTTGTAAAAGAATAAAATATACATTAATGAGATAAAAGGGGGAGAAAGTCTTATATTCTTTATTAAAACAATTTCCTTTGCTTCCATTTTTTTTCCCAATAAAAATAATGCAATCATCCTATATATATTCAGTTGGTTCTGACTATGGCCTTAAGAAGATCTGAGGAAAATCCCCCATTAGCTATAGAAATGATCCTGTTGTGATCAATAATGATCAGAATACAGGCAGCAAAATAATTCCCGTAAGTTCTTTTCTATGTTGTAAATAACTCAATGTGGTACTCAACATTATCAAGTATTATCCACATATTAAGTTTTATCTGATAAGATTTCAAATCTATTTTATGGCATAAATTTTACACATTCAACATTCAACTCTGCCAAGTAAAACTGCATTTATCTGTCCCCCTCCCCCGCCCCCTTCTCTGTTGTTGGAATGTGTCTCGTTTTTCATGAACACTCCCAGTCAGCCTCAAAACTAAGCCAGTGCAAAAAAAAAAAAAAAAAAAAAAAAAAAAAAACCACACACACAAGCAAGGATTTTAGCATGCTTACTAAACAATCATTTTTTAAACAATAATTTTTGAAAATATGAAGACATATACATAAAGCTTTTAATATCTGTTAGTCATATTTTCAGCTTTTGTCTGGTACTGCTTTAAACAAAATGATGCAATATTAAAGTAGAGTTCTAGCATGTCCCCTGAGCAAGGATGACATGCAAATTAGTAAAGTGTTCCATATTTCATTTTTATTTATCTATGTACTTATTTTTTGAGATAGGTCTCGATCTGTTGCCCAGGCTGGAGGGTAGCAGTGCAATCTCAGCTCACTACAACCTCTGCCTCCTGGGTTCAAGTAATTCTCATGCCTCAGCCTCCCAAGTAACTGGGATTACAGGCGTGCACCAACACACCCAGCTACTTTTTGTATTTTTAGGAGACTGGGTTTTACCATGTTGGCCAGGCTGGTCTCCAACTCCTGATCTCAGGTGATCCTCCTGCCTCATCCTCCCAAAGTACTGGATTACAGGCATGAGCTACCACACCCGACTGTGTTCCATATTAAAAAAAAAAAAAAAAAAAGACAAAAAGTTCAGTTCTATAATTTTAAAAACTGAAACCTATGATACACTGAAATTTAGAATTTTCATGCTCAAAGATGTCTTCATACATATTTCCTATTTAGTAATAAACTAAATCACAGAAATATTCTATAATCTGTTTAGCTCACAGTCAATGGAAAGAAATTTCAGTGCTTTTTCTATTTTGTAGAAAATTTATCTAAACTTTTTATTCTGGTATATGTGTATTAAATTTAATTTTATTTGAACAATATTAAATAAAAACTAGTGTGCTTTGAATTACTGTTCCAATACCAGAATTAAAAGTCAGCATGGAATACTATGTCCAGATTTAATATCAACCCAGCAAGACAGTTTTAACCTCAGTATGACCTTGATCCTTAAAAGCTAACCACAAACAAAAGACCAGAATCTACTAAGACTCAGACAGATACAGAAGAGCTATAAAACTCAAAAGAATTTCTCTAGCACCTAGCAGCTCCAAAAAGGCAGACTTCAGATGGTGGATATGTTCATACTGTTTCTCAGATTATCTGATGATACAGATGAGGATTTTTCTATGAAAAAATTTTAGTCTATAGCAACATTAAGACATTATTACCAGCGGTACCTTAGTTATACAAATGTAAGATTTCCAGATCTAGACAGCCAATGCTGTCATCAGGCTGGCACTTGCTGAAAGAAATGCCACTGTTGATAAAATTGCAATGTTCACAACTTAGCTACACATTTTTAAAACAAGGCAAACAGCTTTCTACTTCTACTAAGCTATTTTCTTCACTGACATTCCTGCAAATGTGTACTCCTTTGTGCTGTTTTGGTGGCCCTCTTTTGCTGATATCACCACACACAAGAAGACAAGATGTGTTCTTTCTTTTCTGCTTTTGCCATATTGTCTCTTCCTCTGACTGAACATGTCAAGCATTTATGGTTTGTGCTGTTCATTTTGTAATTAATCATATGCAATTTTAACTATTATCTTTCTACACATATTCTCTCTTCTTTCTACATATTCTATTTCTACACACACACATACACACACAGGTATTAACTTACCAATGAAATTCTAAGCTTCTCAAAGGCAAAGATAATTTTTCTTATATAACTTACCCTATTAAAATGGCACTCAAGACATCTGCTGAATTTAATTTGCTGAAGAATAATAGAATCTCACGGCTGAAGGGCATTTAAAAGTCACCTAGGCCAATCAACCATCTGATGTTTGAATCACTAGGCAGCCTACATAGCAAGCTGTCTTATAATAAAATCTAAGCTTGTGGTACATGAGTATGTAGTACAAACTGGCTATATCTAAAACATGATATAAGTCCAATCAAAATAATAATTGTTCTTATGACGTAAGTATAAAGACTCTACTTCCAAAATATTTAAAAAGAAACATAGAGGCCGGGCGTGGTGGCTCATGCCTATAATCCTAGCACTTTGGGAGGCCGAGGCGGGTGGATCACGAGGTCAAGAGATCGAGACCATCCTGGTCAACATGGTGAAACCCCGTCTCTACTAAAAATACAAAAAATTAGCTGGGCATGGTGGCGCGTGCCTGTAATCCCAGCTGCTCAGGAGGTTGAGGCAGGATAATTGCCTGAACCCAGGAGGCGGAGGTTGTGGTGAGCCAAGATTGCGCCATTGCACTCCAGCCTGGGTAACAAGAGTGAAACTCCGTCTTAAAAAAAAAAAAGAAACATAGAATAAAATGTCCATAGTAAGTATATCAAGTAACTAGGTAAAATTAATATATTTGGTAAAAGAAGTACAAGTGTCATAGGACTTGGGGAATTACTTTTTGTTTAGTAAATTAATAAGCCATCAATATGACAGCATTCATTTGAAATTAACTATAAAAATATTTCATAAAATTAATATATACAAGATCATGTTATACATCATTATTTGCCTAAAATTTGACTCTTCCAGTGAACTCACAACATGATGGTTGAGACTTAACTACGGAGCTAAAAACAATATGATTGAGTTAAAAACCATATTTGACTACAATATGATAAAAACCATATTTGACTAAAACCATATTTGTCACTAGACAAATCTTGCCACCATAAACAGCTGTTAAACTGGACAAAATATATTAAGCAACTATTTTTAGACAGACAACAGGCATCAAGGACTGCAACCCCTGAGAAAACAGAAACAAAGCAAGCCCCATGATCACTTGTTTTTGTCTGGAGGTGCTTTCTTAACTGTGGGACAGAGAGGAGAACCTCAAATCACAGTGATCTCACGGAACAGAGATCAGAATCTGGGGAAGTAGTGGCAGCTGGAAATTGAAGAAAATACACAGAGAAAGAAATGTCTATGAAGGCCCCAGAGTGTCTACAAAATTAACTAAAGAAGCACTACCAAAGCTCTTACAAGGGTGGGGGATGTTTTGATTTCAGCCATCCAGAATGAAGAAACTTTGTTGAATACACAGGACATTTGATAGACATTACAGAAAAGTCATGCTCTAGGAGCAGAGCTAATCTAGACCTGGAAAAAGTCTACATTAGAGCCATCCTAATATTAAATCTATACAAAAACAACCAGAACAAGCAAGTGAGTTTAGCAAAATTGAAAAACACAAGATCAATATATAAACATTAACTCCATTTCTATATACTACCAATGAATTATCAGAAATTGAAATTTCAGAATATCAGGTACTTAGAGATTTCGTGAACAAAAGATGTAAAGATCTGATATTAAAAACTACAAAAATATGGCATTAAGAAATTGAAAGACCTAAATAAATGAAGAGAGATATCTTGTTTCATGGTTCAGAAGACTCAATATTGTTTAGATGTCAATTCTTCCAAAATTGATCTATAGCTTCAAAACAATCTCAATCAAACTGCCAGTAGATTATGTGTGAGTGTGTGTGTGTGTATAGAAACTGATAAGCTGATTCAAAAATTCATATGGAAATGCAAAGGACCAAGAATAGCAAAAGCAACTTTGAAAAAGAACAAGTTGGAGGGCTAACACTCCCTAATTTCAAGACTTACAAAGCTGCAATAATCAAAACAGTGTGGTACTGGTATAAAAATACATAGATCAATGGAACAGAATTAAAAGTCTAGAAATAAAAGTAGGTAGATATGGACAACTGTTTTTTTGACACAAGTTCAAAGTGAACCAGAGAAAGGATAACCTTTTAAAAAATGGTTACAAAACAATATCCATATACAAAAAATGAGCTTGAATCCATATCTGAAATCATATTAAAAAATTAACTCAAACTGGAGAGAGGGGCATAAAGACACTTTATGATTAATAAACATGTTCACTATTTTCATCATAGCTCTGATTTTATAGTTAAATGCATGTTAATTTTTCAAATCATATATTTTAAATATGTACAGTATTTCTGTATGCCAATTATACTTCTAGAAAGCTGTTTTTAAAAAATAAATAGGGTCTCCAAACTGGATTGCAGTAATGTATTTTGGGTGGTGGAACATCATGGCTGAGCTTATTCTTGGGTAATTTAGGAAAAGTTACTTGCTGTATATCTAAGTTTGATATTATTTCAAAATAGAAGAAAAGTCATAAGGGGCTATTATAAACGACTTTATATCAGTATGTTTGAAATTTTAGATGAAATGACAAATTTCTAGGGAAAAAATTATCTACATTGATATAAGCAATAAAAAATAGCATATCCAGGTCAGGCTCGGTGGCTCACACCTGTAATCCCAGCACTTTGGGAGGCCGAGGCGGGCAGATCACGAGGTCAGGAGACTGAGACCATCCTGGCCAGCAGGGTGAAACTCCGTCTCTACTAAAAATACAAAAATTAGCTGGGTGTGGTGGCACATGCCTGTAATCTTAGCTCAGGAGGCTGAGGTAAGAGAGTCACTTGAACCAGGGAGTTAGAGGCTGCAGTGAGCCAAGATGGCGCCACTGTACTCCAGCCTGTTGACAGAGTGAGACTGTCTCAAAAAAAAAAAAAAAAAAAAATAGCATATCCAATAGCTAGTAAAAAAAAAAAAAAATCCAACCCACAGTTTAAAACCTTCCTAACAAAGAAAACACAAGAACAGACATCTATCTGTAAATTCTACCAAACATCAGAAAAAAATGCCAATCTGATAGAAATTCTTCCTGAGAATAGAAAAAATGAAAACACCACCCAACCTATTGTAGGAGGTCAGCTTAACTTTGGTATCAAAACCAGTCCAGAACATTAAGAGAAAAGAAAAATACAGGGTAATCTCACTCAAATACAGATACAAAAATCCTCAACTAAATATTAGCAAAACAAATGAACAACTGATATAAAGGATAACACATTACAACTAAGTTGGGTTTATTCCAGAAATGTAAAGTTAGTTTAATATGTGAATAATAAGAAAAATCAATAGATGCAGAAAAATATTTGATAAACTTTAATGCCTGCTCATTATTTTAAAAAACTAGAATTCAGTAAATTAGGAATAAAAGACAACTTCTTTACTTTGATAAGAAAGCTATTAAAAACCTATAGAAAAACACTTTATAAGAAATAAGGTAGGAAAGACTTTTTTTCCAGATATCAGTCTAACACTACAGCAATTAATACAGTCTGGTGTACGTACAAGTATAAACAAACCAATCAATGTAAAAAAACAGAGTTTTTCTTTAAAACAATAGCCTAAGTGGTGCTTGATGTGTGATAAAAGAGCAAACACAAGAGTACTGGGAAAGTGCTAAAGCAACTGGACATCCATGCCGGAAGAAAAGATGGACTGCGGAGGGAACATGAAAGGCAAGGCAGTAACAGCTTCTAGAACATAGGAAAATATCTTCATGCTTTTAGAGTCAGAAAAGTTTTCTTAAACAGGACACTAAAAGGACCATTCGCAAAGGAGAAGATCTGAAAAGCTGGACTAAATTCAAACTAAGAACTTCTGTTTTTCAAAAGACGAGAGGAAAAAGGCAAACCACAAAGTAAGAGAAAATATCTGCAACACACAGAGCCAAAAGAAGAGGAATATATCCACAGTATATAAAGAACCTATGCATCCTCGAACGGAAGGTGCTTAATAAAAAACAAAAACTCATACAAATTTATAAGAAAAAGGCAACTCAATAGGGAAAGAAAATAACACAAATATGGGTAAGAGACCTGACCAGACAATACATAAAAGAAGACGGCTAAGAAGCCAAAAAACATAAGGTGCTCAATCTCATCAGTAATCAAATTAAAACTACAAGGGAATACCACTACACACTCTCCAGAACAGCCACAATTAAAAACACTAATAATAGCTAAGGATGTGGAGCAAGTGGAACGCTTATGCACTGCTAGTGGAAATGCAAAGTTTTCCAAGTAGAATCACTTTGGACAACTGTTTGACAATTTCCAGTACAGTTAAAAGGAACACACACATGTGCATGCACGTGTGAATGCACACACACACACTAATATATGACCTATATTCTATCTTGGTATATACCCAAGAGAAATTACACTTTGGTAGAAATATGTCTACCAAAACGTAGGTAAAAATATACACAGTACTTTATTCATAAAACCCAAACTGGGAGAGTATGTGAGTGTGTGTGTAGTACAGTCACACAGTGGCATACTACACAGCAATAAAAAAGTCTGAAATACTCATACATGTAACAACATGGATGAATCTCAAAAACATAATAAGTGGAAGAATTTAGACACAAAAGGACACATAGTGTTCAATTCTATTTATACTAAAGTCAAAAACAGGTAAAACTATGCCTTAGTTTTAAAACCATCTCCATAGCGTTGTAAGTTAGAATAGTAGTTATCTTTGCAAAAGGAGGACAGGGTAATGGCAGATAGGGCATAAGTGTGGTCTCTAAAAGTCTTCTATTTCTTGACTAAGGGTGATAGCTAGCTATACAAATATTTGTTTTGTGAAAATTTTGTTCTGTTTTCTTTACTTGTATAACATTTTATAACACAAAGTTTAAATTCAAACAGCCCTGTAAGAATTTTTATACCCAGCTATACACTAGTCCAATTATAGCATATACCCTATTGGTTTACATCACAATTTGAAACTTAATTCAACTCTTAAGCTTACTCCATGATAAGTCTCAGGAGCCAAACCACATACAGTCCAAGAGGAGCCAGTCCCATTAGATACAACATTAGCTACATCCATTTGGGAAGACCTTGGTAACATCTGATCTCAGGACTAAGGGGTGGTGGTGTTTAAAATAAAAGATTAGCATGAGATTCCTCTTTTCTTTCTACTTTTCTTGCCTCATGGGAGAGACAGAAAAACTATTCCCATTACAGGGGCAGTTAGGCTTTCCCAGATGCTTGGTCCACATCTAGCCTGGGAAGCTATGGTCCTAGGGTCCTTAGCTCAGTGGAGAGCAGATGAGCACACTGAAGCTGTGTGTCCTCAGAGATACCAGCAATAGCGGCAGAGACTTAATCCTTAGGTGTGGATAAGAAGGCAGCAGCAGAAAGCAGGAAGATGTTTTGCCTTTCCGGGCTTATCTGCAGTCATCTTTTCTGAGAATGCGTCTGCGGCCTCTCTTTTTTTATTCAAACTCTATATATGTCATTCTATATGCCATACACTACACCAGAAATACACTGAGGACCAAAAGAGACATGGTTTCAACCCCATGGCTTAAACGATCAACACTCAAACATAAAACACAATTGTAAATAGTGAAAAAAGCTATTTAGGAATAACAGAGTGTTATGATAGAGAACAAAGGGAAGAACCCTGTTACATGCTTTGATGTTTGACTCTAAGCCAGACTCATTTTCTTATTCCCCTGCGCTAGCTTTCAGCTAGCTATCTGAAATAACAGTTAAAAACAGTTTTTGTCTAGGTAGGACAAAATGACTTAAGACTGCAAACTGAGTTACTTTATCCAACATTAGTTGGTCTTGACAGGTCAATTAAAAACAGTGTTTCTAGTTGTTACAATGACAGGGTGGGGTGGTGACACCAGCTGTCTTCAATGGGTGGAGACCAGGGATGCCAGATGTCCTGTAACACAGAGAATCGTGGAACACAATGAAGAATTGTCCTGTGTACTGCCGGACTTTAGGATGTCTGCCAGATACTCATGCAGGTGAAAAGACTGTTTGTAACTACCTCAGGCTAGAACTTAAGTCCATTTTACATTTATACACAAAGTATTTTTCACCCAGTTTTATATACACTGAATTTTCCAGTCCAGTCATTAATATAACACATTTCTATCAATTTGCATTTGTACTTGTGGCATTCACAGTGATTCATGTATAAGTATAAACATTTGACTACTTGATTAAGACTTTTAGTGTGCCGGCTGGGCGCAGTGGCTCATGCCTGAAATCCTAGCACTCTGGGAGGCCGAGGTGGGCAGACCACCTGAAGTCAGGAGTTTAAGACCAACCTGGCCAACACAGTGAAACCCTGTCTCTACTAAAAATACAAAAATTAGCCGGGCATGGTGGCACATGCCTGTAGTCCCAGCCACTTGGGAGGCTGCAGCAGAAGAACCACTTGAACCAGGGAGGGGGACATTATACAGTGAGCCAAGATCGCCACTGCACTTCAGCCAAAAGACTTTCGGTGTGCTAATACCTGTGTGTTTACGTATGAATGCACCTACTTTATTATAAATTATTTTTATTTCTTCTTTATATTCCATTTACTGTATCATATTGATTTTTCTAAATTTTTTTTTTTTTTTACACTTCAGAAGTTTATTAGCGAATGGTTTTGGGCCAGTTGGTGTTTACATGCTTGATCCCTACAGCCTTGGTGTACTAGCTGCAAGGGCTGGGATAGAACCTCACTGTCTGCTGGTCATTGGTGATGCTACCCTATGAAGATGATGGGCCTCTTGGATCCAAGGTACCAGGGCTCTGAGCCCACACTATCAGACAGACTCCACTTTTGTTTCCAGTGCCTGGGGTGGGGAGATGAGAGTTTTGAGGATCTCAGTGTAGTAGGGGCCAAACACCTCCTGATTGTGATGTGTCAAGTTGATAAACTTTTGGCCCAGTTCTGCCAGTTCTGCTTCAATAAGAGTAAGGCCTCCAGGGAGGTCTAACAGAGACCGCTCCACACCAAGAACCAAACAGCATTTGAGAAACAAATGGATCCGCTGATCAATGACACTGCGGACACAGTTCTCCTTCTTGGCAATGTTCTGTAGCTGTCCCATCAGAGATGTTGCATTGTCACTGCTTAGAGCAGCAAGGCCCATATTCTTGAGGCTTTGATGGATTTCCTGAGACACCTGTTCACTCACAGACAGTATAGCTTCCTCAGGCCTGGACTGAGGAAAAGTAGATTCAAGTATCATTGAATTTACTTCTGGATAGTAAAAAAGGCATTATAAAATATTGGTCATAGGTCACAGAAGGTTGAGAATATTGGTCAAAGTTCTCCATTAGACAGTAAGTTCCTTAAGGACACAGGTTAGGTCTTACATTTATCTATCTTTCCCTTGGTACCTGCTATAGCAGTTTTAACAAATAAAAAATATTTTTTTTTTATTTTAGAAAAATCATACCATTAGCAAAATTATTTGAGCTCTCATTTTCTGGGACAACAAATACTATTCAATAAACACAGGAAGCTCTTCTCTTCACGGCCTGAAAAAAATTATAGTTTCTCTATGACTTATTCCATCATTACAATGAGATGATTTAACAAACTGAACTTTCTTTAAGGTAAGTAAATAAGGTTACAAATTACCTAACAGGGCATAGAGAGCTTTTTAAAATTCTAAAATCCTTAAGGATAGAAAGGATACGTTTAAGTATTTTTGTCACCCTGGTCCCCTTCCAGCATCTTCTACTTAATGAACTATACCATCATGTAACCAATTTTAAAACCCCAAAATCTAGCTCATGGTTAACAACTTCCTCACTATCCTATACAATCAACCAAAAATCAAGTCTTGCCAATTTTACTTCCTAACCATGGGAAAATTTTCTAATAGGAAAACTCTGTCTCTACCACTGACACCCTGGTCCAAGTTACCATCATCTCTGCTTGTACTACTCTAAGAGCCTCATGACTTATCTATGAGACCTCCAAATTCATTCTCCTCCAATTAATCCTCCTAATCACACTTTGAAGTTGCTACCATTATTGTCATTTTGGAGATGAAAAAAACTGAAATAAAGAGACTAAGAAAATTTCAAATTTACACAGCTAGATAAGGGCAGAGCTAGAAATTACTACAAAATAAAGGTGAAAATAAGAGACTACCAGGTTTGTTAATAACAGACTACCAGGTATTAATACCTAAAACAAAATAAAGGCGAAAATAACAGACTACCAGGTTTGTTTACTCTAGTGCTCTTTATACTTTTCACCACGTGGTACCCACATCCTAAATTATATTACCCCAGGACTACTGTTCTGAATATTAATCACTCTTCTTATTATGGTTTGGTAAATGGAGTCAGAGACATAGGAGACTTAATTACATAAGTACTTACAGATACTTTAGTATACTTTGGAAGTCTCTGACATCCTCTTATTGCCCTATGCCTCTTTAATCTTAGTCTTCTGGTTGAAGGTTATTAGCTGCTATTATTTGCTAATAATGATAATTCCAAGAATATTTCAACATCTATTTTTGAAAAGGCTTGAAATAAATCAGCAATTTTTCTTCTCATTACGTTGCTTGGTTTAAGCAAGATACTAAGCTATATATAAATGTTAACAGAATAAATGAAGCTATTATGAATGATAAAAAGGTTGGCCTCACTACTGGGGCAATATGTAATAAGGATAATCAACACAAAAATATAAGGGAACCAAATGCTGGCTTGTCTATGACTAAGAAGAGATAACACTAAACAGAGAAAACAGAAAGTCCACAAATAATTCACAATTGGTGACATAATGATGCAGGTCAACTGACTTAGAAAACTGCAATTCCTGCATTATAAACAGCATAAGCACTGTGAGAGTTGCTAGGAGACCATCTCATTTATCTAGCCTTCCTCAGAGGAGTGAAAGAAGGAACAGTATGAAACTTAAGATGGGCCCCAGTGAATTCTGCCTTACTTCCAGAGAAATAGCTTGCCCTCTGTCATCTTTTTACATGGTCCAAAAGCACAAAAACATGATGAGTTTTAAAGTACTAAACCTGGCACATTTATTTCAACAGCTGACAGGTAATTTGTTTTTTAATGGCAACACTGATAAAATCTAACAGAGTATCTCTGCTTTGTTTCTCATTTACTAGGGAAAATAACCTAAATCCTAGCTATAAGTGCTTTTGCAATGGCGTTACTTGGAAGAACAATTCTGAACACTTAAAAAATCATTAGAGAAAAAGATGCAATCACAAAGGCTGAGGCAGGAGAACTGCCAGAACCCAGGAGGTGGAGGTTGCGGTGAGCCGAGATCGCGCCATTGCACTCCAGCCTGGGTAACAAGAGCGAAACTCCGTCTCAAAAAAAAAAAAATTTTATTCATAAACTCATACCAAGTGAGTAACAATATGATAAACAATTTCCAATCTTCTTAGCCCAAAGAAATGTACTGAGAATTAAAATGGCTGGTAATACCAGATAAGAGATTTGTTTTAAAATTCTGCCTTCACAGAAACTTTCCCTAAATCCTAGAAAGGAGGTCTGTATTAGATGAACTTCGTACCGTAAGGTTTTTCTTCTGTTACTTTCCCCGTAGAATCGAGTGTATCAGTAGCTTTCCCCAGTTCTCCAATGGCAATGTATCTCTAGAAGAAGGGAAACAGGGAGAAAATGGGCCATGAGGCAAAGAAAAGCTGTTATGCATGTCTTTATACAGAATTTTACTAATACTACCAGCCTAATACAAAATAAAGGCGAAAATAACAGACACAATTGTTTTTTTTTGTTTTTTTTTTTTTTGATATGTGGGAAGCAATTGTGTATACAGCTAGTGTTTGGCTTAGGACCACGATTGGTTCCGACAGACTGGTCGTAACACGATTTGGTCGTAAGTTGAGTAGGCTATATGTACAGTACTGTGAAATGATGTTATAAAAATCTTTAAGTCATATTTTATCATAATTTTCTTTCACTATTGTTATATATCATAATTTTCTTTGTTCATTTTATGCCATTTGTATCATCTCTACACCATTTTGTTTCTTATTTTTACATTCGTCAGGTTTAAGTAAAAAAACTGCATTACCAGTACAACTGGTTTAATATTTGCAAAACATACAAAATTACAAAATACAGGTGCATACAAAAATACAAAATACAGGTGTAAAAAATACCATAGGAAACATTTTCTCAATTGCAAAACATATCAAAATATATAAACATGTATGAAACATTTTATTGGCCACTGGTGCTTGGCTGCGGATTGTTGATGTCGTCATCTGAGGCAGCAGTTGGGGTTACCGGAGTTGGTTTTTTCATAAACATGGTGAGCTTTGTCTGAATTGCATGCTTCTTTTTTTCTTCATAAATTTCACGATACGGACGAAACACATTGTGCGCCATCCGTTCAATCCTTGCAAATCGTTTGATGTTTGGGTCCATTGCTTCAAAATGTGTAAGAAGTTTATTGGGAGGGGTTTGATGAAAAATATCCAAGACACAAAACACAAACTGCTGTACCGAGTCTGGGATAACAGTTGAAATGGTGCACGCGGAGATGGTAGTGCTGCCGGAAGCTGGTCCACACTGTTGTACGCCCAGCTGGGCAACGTTTGCGCTGCCAGACGCGGAGCAGTCATGGCTAGCGACTGTGGTCGTAAAGTCGAATGGACGTTAAGTTGCATAGGTCGTAAGTCGATCAATTCCTGTACTGAAGAACATTCGTAAACGTCTCACCCAAGCCAATATGAGAAAGAAAAACTTGATTTTATTGATAACTATGGTTTAATAATTATGAGAATTATTATTGTAAACAAATTTCTCAAACCACCTTTATACTGAGAAGTTTGTTTAAGAAAAATTTTCAAGTCTATCCATGAATAGACAGTATGGTACAATATCCCTGACCCTGTGGCCATCATAAGATTCAATAATTTTCCCACACATACAATTAAAATTAATTTTGAATAAGGCAACTTAGTACTTCTTACATGAAATTCCAAGACAAATCTTAGTAACTAGGCCATGCATTTAAACAAAAGCTAAATCTGTAGAAAAAGAGCAAAACTAGTATAGCAGTTAGTACACTTAACTATTACTGTACATGTGTTTTTTTGTTTTGTTTTGTTTTTTGCTTTTTTTGAGACAGAGTCTACTCTGTTGCCGAGGCTAGAGTGCAGTGGTGCAATCTCAGCTCACTGCAACCTCCAACTCCCGGGTTCAAGCAATTCTCCTGCCTCAGCGTTTGGAGTAGCTGGGATTACAGGCGCCCACCACCACCACGTCCGGCTAATTTTTTGTATTTTTAGTAGAGCCAGGGTTTCACCATGTTGGCCAGCCTGGTCTCAAACTTCTGACCTCAGGTGATCTACCCGCCTCAGCCTCCCAAAGTGCTGGGATTACAGGCGTGAGTCACCATACCCGGCCATGTATTTTCTTAATAAAGATAAATTACTATTTAAGATCTCAGGAACAAGAATCATTTCTATGAATTGATCTTTATTCACAACTGAAGAATAAGATCATTCTTAGTTAAGTGAGGACTGTCTTATTTCTCATCTTAGGACACACTTGTAGTACATATTCTTTTCACTACTCTCTTTTGGTCAAATGCAAATTTTATTTGGGGCATCACATGAAGTAGTGAAAAAAAGTGTAAGAACTCTCTTTCCCACTGAATATAATCTGTATTTATGTGAGAGCTTTTATAAAAGAAAGCTCAAAGTACTCTGCAGAAATATAAGCTTATTGATGACAAACTTATTATGCTAGTGAAGGGACCCAAGACAAAAATGAGAAAAATATTAAAAGTTCAAAATCTCAAAAATATGCAGACATTTTATGACAGCTGAAGGGCCTTTGGTGAAATCACCTTAATATTATATAGCTCAGATTTTTGTTAAGATAAATAAAATAGAGGAGGAAATATTCCACTGGCATTTGAATTAATTCTTTAAAAGTTTCATAGGTATCATCAAAAATTAGTTTTTTGTAACTAAACATAGTCTCATCACACGAGACACCCACTCCTGCCTCTCTATTTTGAGACAATCCACCTTGATGAAGCATACCACAGGGAGAAGTACAACAATGGTAACAGCACAGCCTCAGAGTCAACTGGCTGGGTTTGAATTCTGATTCCACCACAACTGATGAAGCAGATCAAGTTAGTCTTTCCTGCTGGGGCTTAATTTCCTATCTTAAAATGTGGAAAATAACAATGCCTCATAAGAAGCAAACGTTTACAGCAACAATATCTAGCCCTGGTAAATAACAATATTACCATCATTTTTATTTTCTAAGAAAGAAGATGTAGGATGATTCACACAGTAACAGTAGTTAGAGTGACTCATCTGGTTACAATGAGCTCCCATAAGGAAAGCAAAGCATCAAAATGCTTTATGATTTTTTTACCTTTAGAGTCTGTTTAGTTGCATAAGAAAACCACAGTGCAATCTTGCACATTGCGCCTTGAATGTAGTATCTGCACTATCTTGCTCTTCCTCAGCAAGTCTGAACTAGGAACCTTAACATGTTTCCCAAGTATGCAATGCCCATTCTAGTCTCTGGACTCTTGGTGTCCTGTGCACTTGGGCACATACCACTTCCCTGGCCTTGAACTCCCTCTCTTCTCTAAGGATCAAACCTTACTCATCTTTCAAAGCCACCCCTTAATTCATCCCAACTTCCAATTACCCACCTTCACAGCATGACTAAGAGTAGGTGCTTGATACAAATTCCATGCATAAAAAGAAGGAAGGCCTATATCAAATCCACAAATTCAATCATGCTTCTTAAGTACTATGAATCTCCAAAGTATTCTCCTAAGTGCTAGGGAAGGATACAATACATAGATAGAGTCCTCTCCCTCTAAGAGGTTACGGTGTAACAGGAAGACTTCAGTAAAGACAACTACTGCAGAGGGGACTGGGTATTACGGCAACAACAGACACGTCTGGTTTATCTCACTGAGCTCTCATATCACACTGCTTAGCACAAGATGACCTATAGAGATACTCACTGTTTTCCAAGTATGTTTTATTGATTCTTATTTTCTCGAAGTATGAACTCTTAGCTAGAATTTCCCATTGCTGTTCTATTGTATTCTCTACTAGAAAGAAACAGTGGCATCTTAATAAAAAGTAGCTGACAGAATTATACACACGCTAGAGAAGTGCCTATATGTGCAATTCTTCACATTTCACCATAGTTTTGTTCATCGAGATTTTATCTGCTAAGTCTCAACCCATTCCAGGGTCTGCAATTGTGCTGGATTCTTTTTAGGAAAGACAATATCGAAATCAACATTCTCAAATCAAATCAAGATGTTCTCAAACATTCTGTTTTCAGAACCCCTACATACACTTAAAACTTATTGAGAAATCCTGGCACACGTTTTTTAAAAACAGGTTATATCTGCCTAGATTTACCGTATTAGAAATTAAAGCTGAAAAATGTTTAAAACTTCCACTAGCCATCAGAGCAATGAGGTCATTGCACATCTAGTAACCTCTGAAAAACTCTACTGTGTATTTGTGGGATTGCCAGTTAAAAAAGGAAAACTATGAAAATAGTTTCAATTTCAACAGACTCCCTGAAAGAACCTCAGGAGTCCTTAGACCACACCCTGTGAACTGATTATTGAAATCATAGCTGTTTCCTAGCTTTCCCTTGTCCTGGCATCTAATAATAATTATCCTTCAATTTTATTTAATTATCCACAAACCACTTAGAAAAATTCAACCACACAGTTAGCCTCCAGCTGAAACAAAGTCTCACCACCAAAAACATACTGAGATAGAAGAGAAAAGACATGGAGATGTATACATTCAACCCTAACATTTTATCTTATGGGGTCTAAAATAATTCTTTTCACTGGCTTAAATTCTACACTGAGTCTGTGCTTCAGAGTTGTTAATTCTCCAAGATGTATATCTGGGAATTGTGAGTTCAACTACTGTATTCATTACAATGTAATTCCACTGCAACCAAGGAGAGGTCCTGAAGAACATCCCACTGATCTGTGTACTCTCTGGGACTCATGGTTTCTCACTGATATTATTCTACTCTCTACTTTACTTATCTTCAAGCTCCCTGAACCCCACAGCAGATATTAGCTAGACATCTCTGGCAACAAATCAGCTTCTGTACTGTTTAGGAGAAAGAAAAATGTTTCTATTACAGAAAGTATACACAATCATTTCCTTGGATCTCAACTGAGGTGTGAGTTTGAAAGCCTGTGATTTAAAACTTCACAAACAAAAGAGGGATATTACTGAGGATGTGAAAGAATACTTTTAAAAAAAACTATCAAACAAAAAACATGTGGCTTTGAATGCATTAATTAAGAAGGAATAGTTCTGGCCAGGTGCGGTGGCTCATGTCTGTAATCCCGGCACTTTGGCAGGCCGAGGCAGGCGGATCATGAGGTCAGGAGTTCAAGACCAGACTGGCCAAAATGGTGAAACCCCTGTCTCTACTAAAAAACACAAAAATTAGCTAGACATGGTGGCTTGTGCCTGTAATCCCAGGTACGTGGAAGACTGAGGTAGGAGAATTGCTTGAACCAGGACCCGGAAGGCAGAGGTTGCAGTGAGCCGAGATCACACCACTGCATTCCAGCCTTGGCTACAGAGCGAAACTCTATCTCAAAAAAAAAAAAAAAAAAAGAGAGAAGAAACAGTTCTTTATAGTTCCTAAGTATAAGCCCTCCAAATTTTCAATACAGTATTTATGAAATATATGAATATTAATAGAGTATACAGAAAAGGTACAAACTGGATTAGCCTCTGGAGAAAACTGACTAGAAATGCTGAAATCTTAAACAGTTGGCTAAGTTTCACAGGAGCATTCTTCAAGTCATGCTTTTGAGTTCTCATAACTGGTTAACCTAAAATGTTACTGTGTTCTTGGGGAAAGTTACTGTCCTTTGACCACACCAAGGGGATACTTTATTCACTCCAATGATAACACTTGTTTAATTATTGGAGGGAGATACAAAGTTGCCTTCTAAGGAAATGCTGGCTTTGCCTGAAGGTGCCACTATGGTTTACCTGCACAGAAATATGGAGGTATCTTTATATTTGGACATGCTAGTTAGATTCTTCGGGTTTTCATAACCTTTCCATCTGGCTTCTAAAGCATTTATAAAGTAACCAACTTTGATCAACAATATAGAAAACTAATAAAGATAGCACTCCAAGCCAGGTGCGGTGGCTCATGACTGAGGCAGGCAGATCACCCGAGGTCAGGAGTTCAAGACCAGCCTTACCAACATGGAGAAACCCCCGACTCTACTAAAAATACAAATTTATTCAGGCGTGGTGGCGCATGCCTGTAATTCCAGCTACTTGGGAGGCTGAGCCAGGTGAATTGCTTGAACCCTGGAAGCAGAGGTTGTGGTGAGCCCAGATCGCGCCATCATACTCCACCCTGGGCAATAAGAGCGAAACTCCATCTCAAAAAAAAAAAAAAGATAGCACTCCAAAACCTCAAAACCTCATCAAAATCTGTTCCTTCAAAGCACAACATCTGCTATCCAGCTTTTGCTGAATGACTGCCTCAAAGAAAGTGTAATTTAGGGAAAGCAGGAACGAGACTATTGCCCTCCTCTAGGTAAGCTACATTTTATACTCTAGGTAAGCTACATTTTATACTTAGATCAACTTAGGCCAAAGGAACACATCAGCCTAACCTCTCAGAATCATTTAACCTAAGCTGTATTTTATGTAGCTCCATTTCTGCATCTGTTGTAAAGCTATTTTTGAAAATGACCATCTATCTGTCATTTAATATCCATTATTGTCAGGAACTTATTTCTGACTTTAATGTCTAAGGAAAGTTTGTCTCTCCCTTAAAGAACTGGAATGCTTTCTTTTTCTGATGAGTGCAATATTTTGCCTACATCACCAGCAATCACAGATAGCAATGAAAAAAAATTGAAGTTAACTGTATTCAAGAGTTCCAAGAGAACTTGTCTGAGTAAAATTAATTTCAGGTGTCTACAGAACATGTGGCTAGAAAGCTCCAACATCGAAAGAGAGATTTGGGGATAGATGAAATACTTGGGAATAGTAGTAACAGTACTTAATGAGCAATTTCTGTACACAAGGCACTGTACAAAAAGCTCACATGCTTTTCATACACATTATACACATAATCCTAAATGAGCAGGTAGTGGAAAACAAACAAACAAAAAAAAAAGACTTGATAAACATGATCAATGGCAGAACAAAGCTCACTCCAAGGCAGAGGAAGACAATGAGGAATACAGGATAGTGGCTCTTAACTCTTACCCTGATCTGAATGGGAGGAAATGCAAGAAATGATTTGGGTGGTCTGATTAGTGTCTAGTCTTCATAGATGGAAACAAAATAATATGATGGTCTAAAGATTTTATTTAAACCACCAGTATTGGCTGGGCACAGTGGCTCACGCCTGTAATCTCAGCACTCTGGGAGGCCGAGGGAGGCGAATCACGAGGTCAGGAGTTCAAGACCAGCCTGGCCAACATGGTGAAACCCCATCTCCACTAAAAATACAAAAAATTGGCTGGGCATGGTGACGGGCACTGTAATCTCAACTACTTGGGAGGCTGAGGCAGGAGAATCACTTGAACCCAGGAGGTAGTTGCAGTGAGCCAAGATTGTGCCACTGCACTCTAACCCAGGTGGCAGTGCAACACTCTTTCTCAAACAAAAAGGTCAGAATTTCACCTGGTAAGTGACAGTAGTTGTATGAAATAGCACTATGTTGAAAAATATTCTAAGGATGTTTCTTGATTCAGCAAGAAGAAATGTCAGGCCATGTTCAATTAGCAATATCGCCAATTAGGCCTGGCTAGGGAGAGAAGAGTGTATTATAACATGGCTGTAACAAGAACACTGAATATCTGCCATCCTAGAACTAAATATTTCTTCATGTAACTCCATCCTACACATACCAAAGTCTAATCTTTCTAGTTGCACTGTGATGCAAATAAAAATTCATCTGTCAAAAGAGGAAGTGAAGAAAAAGTGGACATTAGATCTGGGCCAAGTTAGGAGGCTGCAGCCACCATTTTTTTAATTAAATGAAATAAAAGGAAAAATACCAAGAATACATCATATACAGGGGTAGAGTTGGATAAAGTTTGGGTGTCTGTCCCCTCCAAATCTCATGTTGAAATGTAATCCCCAGTGTTGTAGGTGGGGCATAGTGGGAATTTTCTGGGTTATGAAGGCAGATCCCTCATGAATGGCTTGGTGTCCTCCCTGCAGTAATGAGTTCATGAGAGATCTGGCTGTTTAAAAAAGGCTGGCACCTCTGCCTCTCTCTCTCTCACTCCCTCTCTCACCATGTGACATGGCCACAACTGTAAGCTTCCTGAGGCCCTCACCAGAAGCAGATACCAGCACCGTATTTCTTATATAGACTACAGAACCATGAGCCAAATAAACCTCTTTTCTTTACAAATTACCCAGCCTCGACCATTCCTTTACAGCAACACAGACTAACACAAAGTTGTTTGATAAAATGTTGCCTTTTCATAAATGTATGTGTCTATAGGGTCATGACATAAAATAAGTCTCTTACTTTGTCAAAAAAATTTTGAAAGTCACTAGATAACAAGATATCTAAGATTCCTTCTAGTGCTTTTTAAAAAAACTAACAAAAATATGTATTAACAGTTTAAACTACTTTTTATTTAAAAAAAACCTTAAACATTAAACTCTTAATGATTTAGTTCTTTTAACATGTACATAAAATTAAAAGGATAAGAAATATAAGTAGCTAACAAGACAATGATGCCTATTTTTGAAATATGAAATACCTAAGAACTAGGTTTCTATAACAAAATGTGCCTGTTGTATTCTATTTATGTTACGGTCACCTGAGGATCAGCGATTTCATGGTGAGACATTCAGGTTTCGTAGCTGAACAGCAAAATGGGCTGTGACAAAATTTACACCAGAGTCAACGATGTATTTACATTTTCAGTCATAATATTTCTGAAAATACATCTGGAATTTACAAGTAAAATCTTTCAATAATATGTAATGTGCTGTGTTTGTGGTTTGGGGAGGAGGGGTGAACAAAGAATATCTCAATGAACTCAACATATTTTATCTAGGGAAAAAAACCCAAACAAATTCCTTAATGTAAACATATCTTTTTTATATTAACATAAAAGTGATTTGTTTATTGTAAAGATTTCACCAAATAATGTGAAAAAAATAAAAATCATCCATAATCCCATATTAAAGTAAACATTGTTCTTTTAGAGTTCACAAATATTAAACAACTGGCAAAAACCACTATCAGAAACAAATTCCAAGCCCTGTGTGTCAGTATTTAAGCACAATGTACAAATTCACTGAGAAACTGTCAAACTCCTTCATTCTAATGCAATTTTTACACTCTGTAATTTTTCAACACCAACATTTCGAAGTAATTTTTCAATACCAACATTTTGAAGATTACAGAGCAAGCCACATTGAAGTTTTTCATTTATCAGAGGCACTAAGATTCCTTCCAACTGAATGGCACAGATTTTTATGCCATGCCAGTTGATAAGCAAAATGGGATATCACATATAATACGTTCTCCAGAGCTTTTTAAAATCAATCAATCAATCAACCTACTTATCTATATTATCTATCTACCTACCCATCTATTATTATCTGTCTATCTACCTACCTACCTATCTATCTATCTTGTTACTTATTTATTGAGATGGAGTGTCCCTCTATAACCCACGCTGGAGTGCAGTGGTGTGATCTTGGCTCAGTGCAACCTTCACCTCCTGGGTTCAACCGATTCTCCTGCCTCAGCCTCCAGAGCAGCTGGTATTAAAGGCATATATCACCACGCCTGCCAATTTTTTTTTTGTATTTTTAGTAGAGAAAGGTTTCACCATGTTGGCCAGGCTGGTCTTGAACTCCTGACCTCAAGTAGGCTGCCCGCCTCAGCCTTCCAAAGTGCTGGGATTACAGGAATGAGCCACCGCACTTGGCCAGGGCTTTTATTTTAATAAAAGTTTACTTAAACCACTGCTATGTCAAGTGTTTTCCACAGGCCAGTATCTATAATGAGATAAAGTTTGCAAAATGAGGTTGCATAGAAACTTATTTAGCAATTTTACATTGCCACAACATTTTAATTACATTTTACAAAAGTCATCAATCAGTCTGCAATGAACTGGAAATTGTTTTAAATAGTCTTAGACTACATATTTTTTTAAAGAAACAATTTAGACAAAATAATTTTATCAACGATTTATATCACATTTAGAGCAAGAATTTTAAAACAAAAAGGTTAGTCCAGGAACTTGATGAAATTTTTTTTACCTCTTGGCATATTAATCTTCCTTCCACATGCATCTTCATTGGCGCTTAGTGCCAGCACTTATAACCAGGACCTAATTACTCATTAGGATACAGATATTATCTCTTTGAGAGATGGAAGAGACCCCTTCTACCAGCAGTTCACAGCTTTCCAGCCTTTCCTGCCTCCAAATAACCGCTTCTCTCTTCTATCAAGTGTCTGGAAACGTGCTTTTGGATCTATTCAAGGGTACTCTCACAGATAAACATATTTTATCATCTTAAAGAGGCCCTACTCTTTTCTTTAATAAACATTTTATAACCATTGAACAAAGCGTGTTTTTGCTGAAAAGGGCATGGTTTACAAAATGGTATTGTTTCTATAAAAATTCCAAGGTTTAAAAAAATCTTCCACTAGAGAGAGTTTATGACCTCTAAGGCCAGATCATCTAAGAAATATGGTATTTTAAAAGTCTAAACATAATTTTGTTAAATGATGAATACTGTAGCATTGTTTCTTTAAGTCTAATTGGTTTTTCAATGCAAAATTTCCAATTTTCAGTCTCAGTATTTTGAATCTCAGATATGTTTATAGACAAGATTAATACTCAGGAATGATATTCATGCAGTTTACTCAGTTTGTTTATTTTTTATTTGATAAAAATCCAACATATGTAGGTCATTAATAAGATTAAAGAAAAATAGAACTATTCCAGTATTCTTACCTTGGACCCTGACAACATACTGGTCAGCATTTTTGTTCCCCTTCCAATTCCAACCACTACAAATCAAAGAAAGAAATATTATGACACTCTGTTCTGAAAACTAGGTTTTTTAAATAGCTACATATTTTGGTCATAATTTCCCAGCTTAGGTAATGTGAAGTTGGAATGAGCATACATTTTGCAAATTTTGAGGGTTCTTATTACTCCAAACATTTGAACCTGTCATGCAACTAAGAGATTCTGAAGAAGGGATGAGAGAAGACCGTTCTCCTCATTCTCAAAGTATTAAACTCAGTGGAAACCTCAGCCCAGCCAATTAGATAATGAAGCTTTACAACAATTTCAAAGGATGCACTGGAATTTTATACGGGCACCAGTGAAAAACACATGGCACAATTAACCATGTTCAAGTGGGTATGATGAGGTCTTTTGACAGAATTCATTATTAAACAAAGCAAAAGCCATTATCATAGCTAATGAACCATTTAAAGATGATTAGCACCCAGCAGTATACAATCAAGAAGAGAGAAACATAACAAATCAGTCTAACACAAAGGATACAAGGTAAAATGAAGGCTGAAGAATGTATTTTAACAGAGACCAAATACAAAAGTACAACAATGGCCGACCTTTCTCTTACATTTCAAACATTATTCATAGGACAACACATTTCACCAGGTGAGGGTGAGAGGATTTAGTCACTTCTCTTTTTGCACGAAGGCAAATTTTTTTAAGAATTGAAGCATTTGTCATCAACAGATACAACTGTGCATAAGAACACAATATAACCACCACAATTCAGAATTATAAGAGCAAATAAGGAGTACAGATTGGCAAACTGGAAACATTATCTTCAATATTTATGGTAAATATCATTCAGTGAGTTTACCATGTATCAGATTCTACTCTAAATGCTCGCCTTTATTATCCCATTTAATCCTCATAACAACTTTAAAAGGTAGTATAATTACTCCTATTGACATATGAGGGAACTGAGGAATAAGAGACTTAAGAACTTTGCCCAGCATCTCACAACCAGTACATGGTAGAGTTCAGATTATTCAAGCCAAATGGTCTAAGAGCAGACCCCCTTCCTTTCCATTCCCTCTGCCACCTTAACTCATGTAGGCTTTCTTCTCACTGCCAGCCTACATCACTGCAAATCTGACTGTTCTACAACCTGTCCCTTCCTCTCTCAATTCATACCACTTCATAACCATTTCTGAAACCCTATTTTTCACATTACAAAGCCCCAAAACAATTCTTAGTAGGGTCCCAGTGGTTACAGCATTGAAGTCCAGCTCAAGCCCCAACTCATTCATAGTCTATTTCAACCTCCTGAAAACTTCTATGACACTCATCTGTCTTAATCCCTCTAAGTCACATAGTCCAAGGACTAAGGTAAAAAACAGTCTACCCTCAGTAGCCTCTGGAGAGCACAATACTCTTCAAATGACAGAACTTTTAGCAGTAGATGCTGCTGCTGATGAGGCAAACAGCAAAAATTCAATGCAATTTGATTCCATTCAAATAAATCCCCAATAAATATTTTTTTGAATAACTGCTATGCACATAATCCCAAGAGGAATACTTCTAATGGAAAAACAAGCTTGTGACACATTTCCTAACTTTGAAAAAGCTTATAATCTCATTGGGAAAATAAAATACAGAAAACAGAAATCACAGTGCTCAAGAAATGTTGCCTAATGAGTGGACAATGCTAAATTACAATATGATAGTATATGATTAAGTGTCAAAATGAACAGAGATAGAACAGCTGCCATAGCAGGGCAAAGGTGGGGGCATTCTAAATGGCTAAAGAGGCCAGAGAATGCTTCATTCAAGCATTTCAGAGTTTGTGTTAGGCCTTTGAAGGATGTATAGGAACACAACAGAGAAGAGAAGCATGTTCTAAAAAAGAAATAAATTGCACAAACTCTCAGATACAAGGATGAGAACAGTGGGTTTACAGACCAAACATAGTGTGTCTTAGAAGCAGGCTGAGATGTTTGACTTTAACATGGTTGAAATCCTGAACTCATGATGGTTTCTGAGCTAGTTTAGTGACCCAGAAGGATAAAATTTAAAAGAAGGCATCTTAGAGTTACCCAGCTTAATCCTCTCATTTTATACCTAAGAATAATCAAGGGCCATTGAAGTTAGGTGATTAGTGAAAGCAGAATTTTAGAAAGACTAATATGGTGGTGGCATACAGAAAAATTATCCAGCGTTGGGACCTAGCCAACCAGCAGATTTTCATTCACAGGTTAGTTCCCTGGACAGAATTTTTATTTAGCATTTTTCCCTTCAATCATTCAGAACTGTATTCAATACACATTGTGTAGGTACAGAAATAAATAAGACCTGGCTTCAGCTGTGATTTAACAATCTAATAGCGAGACAGGTATCAACAAAAACTAAGAGGACAAAATGAAGTTTTACATTAGCAGTATAGAAGAGCAAGCAGGCAAGCTTCAAAGGCAGGAAATGGCATTTCAGCTGAACCTGGAAAGGTCAGTAGGACTTCTGCAACGAAAGGCACTGAGAGAGATGAGCCCCTTACAAAAGAAAAGTATGAGCAAAGGCACCACGTTTGAAAAGGTGTGGAGACTTTAGAGAATGGATGAATAACAGGGTTTTCCATGCACAGTCTCACAATTACTACTCTATCTCCCAAATTTTCTGTGCTCGCACAAATGTTATCTCTGTTTAAAAAAAACACATACACAAAAACAATTCAGTGTCTCCAAACTTAATCCAATGTCCTAGTATCCTATTCTCAAATCAAAAAGATAGAATTTGTTTATGAGGAGAGTCCCTCTAGGACAGGCGTGGATTATATATATGTATTTCCAGTTTTCTGCAACTGGAAGTTTCTACTGCTATTTATATAATTCGATTAACGCCCTGTAGGGTCATCTTACAAGACCTGTATTTTTCCAATTGTAGGAATCTATTTTAAGAATCCGAAATACCTGGCTGATACAGATGTGTGGGTAAAAACAAAAAATAAACAAACAAAAAGTTATATCTATAAAGATATCCCTAACAAATTCAGTTCTGACAAAACTCTGGTAATAGCCACAGTGACCTCAAATAGGGAAATGGTTAATAAATTGTATTTTAGCCATATGATAGAACATTTCATAACCATTAAAAATAAGGTTTACAAAGAGTCTATCAACATGAACAATGTTTATGTTACAATGTTAAGTTAAAAAAATGGATATATAAGTACATACAGTGAAGCAGAGCTCAACTTAAAAAATAATCTGCATAGACAGGCCAGGTGTGGTGGCTCACACCTATAATCCCAGCACTTTGAGAGGCAGAGGCAGGCAGATCACCTGAGGTCAGGAGTTCAAGACCAGCCTGACCAACATGGAGAAACCCCATCTCTACTAAGAATACAAAAATTAGCTGGGCATGGTGGTGCATGCCTGTAATCCCAGCTACTCGGGAGGCTGAGGCAGGAGAATCACTTAAACCCAGGAGGCAGAGGTTGCGGTGAGCTAAGATTGCGCCATTGCACTCCAGCCTGGGCAACAAGAGCAAAACTCCATCTCAAAAAAAAAAAATCTGCATAGACAAAAAGTTACAAAGAAATATGGCAAAAATGTTAACTGATTATTGATAAAAGGTGGAAAATGGTCTTTTTTTATTTTCAACTTTCTCATACTTTCTAAATTTTCTCACTGTTTCTATAACCTCTAAAGTTAAAAAAATTTTGAAATGATATATAGAAATTCTATTTACATTTTAAGTGATTTATGATCAATATGTCTACTCCTTTCCTATTACTATTGTAACAAATTACCAATTGGGGCTCAAAACACTACAAACTTTTTATCATACAGTTGTGGAGGTCAGAAGTCTGAAACGGGTTTAACTAGGCTTAAAATCAAGGGGTTGGCTTGGCTATGTTCTTCTCTTGAGGCACTAGGGGAGAATCCTTCACTACAGCCTTCCTAGGGAACCTTTTTTTTTCCTTTTTCAGCTTTTAGAGGCTGCTCCCATTCTTCAGCAATCACATCCCTCCAACCTCTGCTTTCATTGCCGTATCTCTGACTCTCTCTTCTGCCTCCTCCTCCACTTTTAAAGAATCTTATGATTACATTGGGTCCACTTGGAAATTTCAGGATAATCTATCTTAAGGTCAGCTGATTAGCAACATCAATCCCATCTACAACCCTAATGTTCTTTATGATGTAACCTAACATATTCACAGGTTATGGAAATTAGGACATGGACACTTTTAGTAGGTGATTATTTTGCCTACCATAGTATTTCTGAGAAACCTGTGAACCCTCTAGCAATTATGCTATAGAATTATAAATCTGAATTTCAGGTTATAATCTTAAATTGTCAGCTAAATTCTTACTCTGCACCACTAATATTGCAAAAAAAAAAAAAAGCAAAAACAGTCTAAAATGTTGAAAGTAAAAGTATATTTTTTTCACACAGGTCCAGTTTTATTAATTTATTTTTAAAAAGGACCTTTGGCTGGGCATGTTAGCTCACAGCTGTAATCCCCGCACTTTGGGAGGCGAAGGCAGGCAGATCACTTGAGATCAGGGGTTCAAGACCACCCTGGCCAACATGGTGAAATCCCGACTCTACTAAAAATACAAAAATTAGCCAGGCGTGGTGACAGTCACCTATAATCCCAGCTACTCAGGAGGCTGAGGCAGGAGAGTCACTTGAATTCAGGAGGTGGAGGTTGCAGCGAGCCAAGATCACACCACTGCACTCCAGCCTAGGTGACAGAGCAAGACTCCATCTCAAAAAAATAAATAAATAAAAATAAAAAAGACCTGTATACAGTACTTCACAGGATAAAGTACATATCTATATACTATAGGTATTTTGTAAGGTATTTTTAAAAACCTTTTGACCTGGTCAAGCACAGTGGCTCATGCCTGTAATCCCAGCACTTTGGGAGGCCTAGACGGGCAGGTCATGAGGTCAGGAGTTCAAGATCAGCCTGACCAACATGGTAAAACCCGTCTCTAGTAAAATTACAAAAATTAGCCAGGCATGGTGACGCATGCCTGTAATCCCAGCTACTCGGAAGCCTGAGGCAGGAGAATCGCTTAAACCCGGGAGGCAGACGTTGCAGTAAGCCAAGATGGCGCCACTGCACTCCAGCCTGGGCCACAGAGAGTGACTGCATCTCAAAAAAAAAAAAAAAAAAAAAAAAAAACTTTTTGACTCAATTTTAGTAGACATTATCCTCTTTTAAAAGATGAAAAAACATTCAGCGAGGTTATGCGATTTTCGGATGTATATAGTTAGTAACTGAAGAAGCCAGTAGCCGGTATACAAACCCAAATATGATTAGAGTCTAGTGTTTATTTTACCACACAATCAAAAATCAACTTCTCATAAGTTTCCAGAACTGCTAACTTGAATAACAAACATCCCTTACTCTGTGACTGAACACCTATAATTTTTTTTTTTAATAGAGATAAGGTTTCCCCATGTTGGCCAGGCTGGTCTTGAACTCCTGACCTCAGGTTATCTGACCACCTTGGCCTCCCAAAGTGCTGGGATTACAGGCATTAGCCACCATGCCTGGCCTATAATTTTTTAAACTTTATCTCTCCCTGGAAATCACATGTATTCGAAGAAAAATTAATACATCTGATATATGAACATGTTATATCATCATAAAAGTCCCTGTGAGATCAAATATAAAATTAAGCCTCCAACCTTAATTTACATACAAATTTCAGCCCCTTCATAATACTAAAATGGAAGCTTCAACAAGATCCCTTCAGCCAAGGGTGTCCAATCTTTGGGTTTTCCTGGGCCACAGTGAAAGAACTGTCTTGGGCCATACATATAATACACTAATGATGGCTGATGAGCTTAAAAAAAGAAATCACACATAAAAAAATCTCATGATGTTTTAAGAAAGTTTATTAATTTGTGTTGGGCTGCACTAAAAGCTGTCCTGGGCCACATGCAGCCCACAGGCCAAAGACTAGACAAGCTTGCCATAGGTTCAGGGTAAAAAAGAAACTATTTCATTCACTGCCCTGAATATTATTATTTTCTGCATGCCAATGAAGAACCACCACTAGAAATTAACAGAATTGATCTACTCATAAAAAAGCAACAGATCTCTTTTCTTATATTTGTGGTGCTATGCCTGGAAAACAGTAAAGCAAAGTGGTTAGAAGCATAGGCTTCAACTCAAGGACCAACTCTAATCACTGGTACAGGCTACTGAAGTTCTACGCTGGTAAGAATCATGAAGCCCTAATTTCTGCCAAGAGCACAGAGCATGAGGAACAAAAGCAGGAGCGCCAGGTATCTACCAACCACAGGGGCAGATGAAGAACAAAAGCAGGAGCACCAGGTTATCTACCATCCACAGGGGCAGATGCTTTGGAACTGAGCAGATCTGGGCTCAAATCCTGACTCTGTCACTAATTCTATGACAGTGAACATGTTACTTTATCTCTCAGGGTCTTCATTTCTTCTTCTGTAAAATGGGGATAATAATAACCTCTTATAGGTTACAATGAGAATTAAACTATATAACTTATGAATGCCCAAAACTGAAGATCTTATGTACAGTAAGTACTCAATAAATTCTTGTTATCATTAGCTAAGGTTTTTGTTTTGTTTTGCTTGTTTGTTTTTTGGAGTGCAGTGGTGCAATCACAGATCGCTGCAGCCTCAACTTCCCAGGCTCCAGTGATCCTCCCACCTCAGCCTCCCAAGTAGCTGGGACTATAGGTATATGCCACCACACCCAGCTAATTTTTAAAATTTTTTATAGAGATGGGGTTTCACCACATTGCCTAAGCTGGTCTTAGACTCCCAGGCTCAAGCAGTCTACCCACCTCAGCCTCCCAAAGTACTGGGATTACAGGTATGAGTCACTGTGCCCAGCCTGATTTTTTCTATTGTACTGTATTGTATTGTACTGTACCATACTGTATTGTATTGTATTTATTTTTTGAGATGGAGTTTCGCTGTTGTCGCTCAGGCTGGAGTGCAATGGTGTGACCTCGGCTCACTGCAACCTCCACCTCCCAGGTTCAGGCGATTCTCCTGCCTCAGCTTCCTGAGTAGCTGGCGTTACAGACGCGCACAACCACACCTGGCCAATTTCTGTATTTTTAGTAGAGATGGGGTTTCACTATGTTGGCCAGGTTGGTCTTGAACTATTTGTTCTATTCTAACCTCAAGTAAAAATATTTTTGCTAACATAAATTAAATCTATAATTTTAGAAAATACAAAGTCATATACAGTTTCTAATGTTCTTGATGCATACCACTTTCTTGAACAGTTTTATCCTTTTCTTTTAAATAAGCACTTATTTACTTTGGATAGCTTAGATCAAGGTTTGCTGTTGTTTGTACCTAATTTTTGCTCTAAATGAAACTGAATAAAATATAAAATACCAGAGCATGGAAAAAGATAAGTATTGTTCCATAAAAGTTTGTTTCTCATATGTGGGGAAGGGGGCACTGAGAGGGATCCCAATGTATGTAGGTAGTTCTGTGACTAAGGGTGCAGTTACAGAGTAAAGTATATCCTAGCCTGTGTATACACACTTTAACAGTCCATTAAGTTGGACTTTAGAATCTCTACCAGGTGCAAAAAAAAAAAAGATGGAATAAAAAAGGATAAAAGACATTTTTCCCTTCGATCAATCTACCATTTTCCTTCACAAACAATAAAATGGTCAACTAATACATCTCCAGCAGAAAATGACTTCCTCTCAAGAACTATAAGCTTCCCCTTCTCAAGACAGTTATCTCAGAGATTAGACTAGAGATAAGCAGACAAACAGAACCTTATACCTTGTCGGGAGTCCCCAAGACCAGCCAACATTCAAAGATTGATGTATACCTCAGATTGTTTACAGTGATGTAGTAAGAATATTCAGCTGGACCACAAGAGGAAAAGACACAGAGCAATCTGGGCACAGGCTTTCTTATTCTCTCTCCCTCCCGAGGGGACACTCAAGCATGCTGCTTTTTCCGACAACAAAAAAAGCAGTAACACCTGTGCAATGTTTCTCTCAGGGAAGCTCATTAGAAACTCAGTGCCCAACGTTTTTATTGGGGACTTGAGAGGATAATCACTCAGGCACCCTCTCTGTCCTAGCAGTGGGATAAAATTCCAGATTCCTAGAAGGAAAGCTGGTAATCTCTGAAACATCTGAGGCACAGCCAACCAGTTTTATCAGACAGTGAAGGGTGGGAACACTCCCAAATTCCAAGTTCCCAGACACCAGCCGATGGAAAGGTGTATAAGCAGGCCTTTCTAAAGACAGCAATTTCAGGTCTGCTATGTTAACTCTTTTCTGCACAGACACAAACCTTTTCAAAGTCCTGTCCACACATAAAAGTGGCTATTTCTAACAGCCTTTAAGATCTTGTACCATTTAAGGGCTTCTTTAGAAGATGGCACTATATATATCCAGTAGATCTGAAACATTCCAAAATAGACCAAAAAATAGAAGGCTTTAGTCAATCTCATCTGTTCTCAACCAGTGTTTCTTTCTAATATTAAGAGACAGTGGACATTTAACTTTCTTACTTATCTCTTACCCAGAACTCCTCGGGCTGCGCTGTCTAGAGTCCCTCCATGACCAATTTTCAAAGTCTGCTTTTTCCTCTTGCTCCATTCTGGAGAAGGCATTCCAGCTTCTACAAGAGTAATGGGGATGAAAAGGAAGGTGATTACCAAGACAAATGAAGTAGGATCTCCATAAACTTGGGAGGAAGAGGGGATGGCATTTTCAAAACATTTTATTGCCATTTCAGTAAAGGCAATAAAAGTACTGTACAAACTTTACATGTTAAGAAACTATGACCTCATTACTAACAAAGAAAATATTTTAAAATGGACATTCTCTAAATTATAAAGAAACAGTATTCTAAAATTAGCTATCTGTATACTAGAATTAATTCTCTAAGAAAAAAAACAGCATTTTTAAAAGGTGGGTAAATATCCAGGCTAACCCGCAAAAATCTAGTAAATTCTTGGTAGTGGTGAGCTGATAAGAGAATCATGAAAAAAAGTTAATCTTGATATAGAAACATACTTTTAAAAGTCCTCAATTTGGCTGGGCGTGGTGGCTCACACCTGTAATCCCAGCACTTTGGGAGGCCAAGGCAGACAGATCACAAGGTCAGGAGTTTGAGACCAGCCTGGCCAATATAGTGAAACCCCATCTCTATTAAAAATACAAAAATTAGCTGGGTATAATGGCACGTGCCTGTAATCTCAGCTACTCAGGAGGCTGAGATAGGAGAATCACATGAACCTGGGAGGCAGAAGTTGTGGTGAGCCAAGATCATGCCACTACACTCTAGCCTGGGTAACAGAGCGAGACTCTGTCTCAAAAAAAAAAAATTTTTTTTTTCAATTTCCATTTCTAAATCTCTTCCATGGTCTTCGCTGGTATCTCCAGCTACCAAACATTGGGAGTATAACTCATGCAGGGCTACTTCTAAATACACCAAATTCCCACACTTCCTGTATACGTGGTCTCCCTCTCCTAATCAAAACTTGCAATTCATTAAAGAAGAAAATCTCAACAAAACATTATGTGGAAAGCAGCTAAGATTAAGTGGCATCTTAACTTCATAAGCATTCAGATTTTTTTTCCTTTCTTTTTTTTTTTGAGACGACATCTTACTCTGTCGCCCAGGCTGGATGGAGTACAGTGGTGTGATCTCAGCTCACTGCAATCTCCGCCCCCTGAGTTCAAGTGATTCTCCTGCCTCCGCCTTCCAAGTAGGTGGGATTACAGGTGCCGACCACCACGTCTGGCTAATTTTTGTGTTTCTAGTAGAGACGGAGTTTCACCATGTTGGCCAGGCTGATCTCAAACTCCTGACCTCAGGTGATCCATGCATTTAGATTTTAGAAAGAGGATGCCAGCCTGGCATATCTCATATTCCTGTTGTAAATATAAAGTGAGCCAGGCACAGTGGCTCATGCCTGTAATCCCAGCACTTTGGGAGGCCGAGACAGGAGGATCACCTGAACCCAGAAGTTCAAGATCAGCCTGGGCAACACAGGGAAACCCCGTCTCTACCCAAAATAAAATTTAAAAAATTATCTGGGCATGACGGTGTGCACCTATAGTCCTATATACTTGGGAGGCTTAGGTGAGAGGACTGCTTGAGCTTGGGAGGCAGAGGTTACAGTTAAGTCAAGACTGTGCCACTGTATTCTAACCTGGGCAACAGAGCGAGATCCTGTCTCAAAAAAAAAAAAAAAAAGATAAAGCAAAATAAGTGTTATTTGAAAGTACTTTGGGGGTACAGAGTCAGTGCTTCCTTCTAGATAAATATAAGTCGTTTTGATAATGGCATACAACATATTGAGAGAGTACTGACTATTAGACTTCAAGTGAGAAAGAAGAGAAAAGCAGGAAAAGCCATATTGATCTACACCTGCCCCCAAACCCATCAAGCCTTCATTATCACCACTGACACCGAGCAGAAAGAAAATAAAGAAAATGAAACGAGTAGACAGAAAAGGGAAGAGGGAAAAGCAAAGCAAGAGGGGAAATGCAGAAGCCAGTTTCAATGGCCAAAAGGTTATGTTGGGTGGCTTGGCCTCCCAGCAAAATTACAACTCTAGCGAGTCACAACCATGGTCTCTGGAACACCCTGGCATCACTCTCTAATTATGGCATCACCATACTTAGATGGGTATGGCTGTCTGCATTAACATAAACTTCTAAGGTCAGACCTAGGTTTCAAACCCTTGACCTGTCACTTGCAACCCATCAGGGATCTCTCACCCATAAATTAACAGAAACCTTCTGGGGAACTCTGCATTTTCAACTTCTCTCCTTCGAGTAAGAAGGCCCCATAAATATACTATCTTCCCTTTGTGCCCAAAAATACCTCCTTCTAACGTGCAGACATACTGCCTCTATAAAGTGAGGAATTTAGTTCACCCCACTGAACTAAGTATTTGTGGATAAATATTTATTATTTTCTAGCTCTAAAATTGTGGTACACTTAGGGCTTTGAAGGATTCAAACAAAAAGTAGGGATTGTTGTGTAACAGGAATCAATGTAAGGAAAGACAAGGAATAGTATTAGAAGCCACAACCATTGTCTGTGGGTGTTAAACACATTAGAATGTAGGTATCTTTAAGAACCTTCCCAAGTAATTCTGACAGCCAGTTAAAATGGCATTTGGGAAGCCCTAACCTAGCTAACATAAATAAAGAATAGGTCAATCACACACAAGCAATACAGAAATCAAGGATCATGAGAATGTCTCTAGCTAAAAGTTGTAGCCTAGCAACAGCCTTGAAACAATCATTTTAATCAAGATTCCACAAGAAACTTCAGTTCTTAGAGGCAGATTAACCAGAAGGCCAGAATATGGCATTGTCAGAAACTTGTCTGAAAGAATGGTAATCATTACCTTAAGGATTAAAAAAAAGCAACAACCCAGAGTTTTGCTAACAAATCAGGAAAGGAGCAGTTCTATAAAGGAAAATGTAAAAAAAAAAAAAAAAAACCTATGATGACACCACAGTGCATATCCTTGATGCAATTCCTCACTTTGACATCCTCTGTGTGACCCTCCTTTCAGGCAAAAAAGTAAACTTTGATACTGGAATTAAACATCTACAGGAGTGTACCTATTTGCCCAAAAACATTTAAATCGGTACTGTCAGTTAAAATTACCATAAGAATAATTTGGTTTTGCATTTTAAGTGTAAAGTTTTCCATGGGACACTAAACAATGTGAGAAAGTCCCTGTACTTGTTTAATGGCAAGACAGAATAGGGCCAAATTCTGGAGGACCTTGAATAACCTAGCTGACTAGTTTTACCACCACACGGTGCAGAAATTAGTAGGCTACAAGCTCAGCGAAGGTAATCATCTTCAAGTCTGTATAGGCTGGCACAGACCTGGCTTATGTGGATATCCAATGAGGCTATATGTGTGAAATGATCTACCGAGCTGATGAACAGGGTGATTCTTTGGGCTTGTCTAGTAATTTCCCAGCGTACATGAATAAATGAATCAATAAAAAGAACATTCAGCTTACTGAGCAAGTTATATTGAATGTTCCTTAAACGTGGCCCATAAGCTACTTACATTAGAAACACCTGGAGTAACTGTTTAGAATTGCGTTTTCCTAAAAATACCCCGAACTCTCCGAATCACAGTCTCTGAGAGGACAGGAATTAGGAATCTGTATTTGTACAAGAGATTCTAAGTAACTGTTAGGCCCACTAAAATGTGAAAAACCACTATGTTAGGTCTTGGTTAATGAAGTGTATATGCATTTCCCATGTATTTTGAAGAATGCAGAGCCAGTGCTTCCTTTTGGGGTTCATCCACATGAACCCAACAAAAGCCTCCTGAAGGATTAGATTACAGAAAATAGGTCTGCACGCCCAAGGGAAGGGTTTTATTGATGTTTTTTTTCCTCCTGTTGAGAACTACAACTGCCATGTAGGCTACAAGTGTTCGTGCCACCGCAAGTCCAAGCCCGAGACGCCCGAAATTTCTGTCCAGAGCTAATTCAATGGTCATTCTCCCTTTCCCTTCCTTTTGTCTCTTGAGTCACGAGCGTCGCAAAAAGCGCTTCCCCTCTCGCGGCGACCGCCTCAGCCTGGTCCCCACCCGGGCTGCAGTACCTGCCAGCAGCTTCTCCTTCAACCGATTCAGCAGCTCGGCTGAAGTGGGCCCTTTGGGCTTGTGTACGGCGAACACGCCGCTCAGGGACAGCAGCTTTGTAGCCAAAGCGGCCTTGGAGATCCTGGCTTCGGATCCTGTCCTGGCCGCGGCCGCAACAGCCGCAGCTGCAGCTGTTGCTGGCGGGGTCGCAGCCATTGCTGCGACCGCTCCTGCAGTTTCAAGGACAGGGGATGTGTCTGTTTTCAAAGACGACGAAGACACCACCACCGGCACCTCAGAAGCTGCCATACGTTTGTAGCCCAGACCTAATTTATCGCGGAGGCGCACGCTGATGATGGAACAAGAATGCGCCGAACAGGCCCCTCTTCCTCGTACCGCAAGCTGCGCTGAACGAGAGAGTCGCAATGGCCTGTGGGAATTGTAGTCCATGACCTTCCCATACAGGCAAGCGCTTGCTGTGCCCTTGTATTTTAAATAGAAAATTTTAAATATTGACTTTTCCTGGGGCTTGTGAAGATCTATGGCTTCCTGGGCTCACTGCTTAATTGACTGTATTGTGCTCTTGAATTCAGGCTCAGAATTAATATACATCCAAATGTGAGCTCTATTAGAGCAAAGAACTTACATACCACATTGACTCACATCCCAAATGTCTCACACGTTGTAGGCACTTAAATAAATATTTGAAAACGTATAAATAAATACGAATTATTCAAATTCCCCGAAGAAACTTCTAGGCCAAGCCAATGGTAAATCACTTGGGCTTATTTTGATACTCTTCATGTACTCCTTTTCACCCCCTAAAACCCGACTGCCCCCACTGCAATTTTTAATAATTCTGATTTTGAATATCAGCTCTTCTGTGGGTTGCATCCCTTAGATAGCAAAAGGCATTCTTGCAATTTATAAAATTTAAACTACTTTCCCTTTGAGACCTTCTCCCCTAAAAGTCATTCGCTCCCCAACAAGATCAAGGAATGTTGTTTTGATTCCAGCACAAGGCAGAGTGAGAAAAATTACTTCTGCACCAAACACATGAAATGCTATCATAAGTATTGTGAGACAGATAAAGTTTGCCCTCATTGTTCTTTAGGTTTCTTTACAGCCACTGTTTCTTCTCATCATACTCTAGGACTTTAATATCTAATATTTTGATGATGCCCCCTAGCTGCTCAGAATCACCAGTTACGGGATCCCATTTGAATTTGTGCTCATTTGTGCAACAAACAAATGGCAGAACAATTTATTAAAAGGAAAAAAAAATCTTTAAGGGAGTATTTTCAGGGTGGAAAGCTGAATCTCCTAGAAGAAAGTCACCTACTCTTGGAGTCTATTATAAAAGCCTAAACTAACTGAAAAGACTGTCATATCACAAGATTAGTGGACGCCTGACCCTGCTTCAAGATGTTCATTTTTCCAGGAAGATGAGGAAGATGTCATGACTTCAAAGGGATGACTGCACCCAAAGGAGTATGGTGTCCTTTAGCCCGAGGAAAGAGCTCTGTGTTCCCGTGGCATGGAAGCAGAGATCCAGGTACTTGCCAGGAAGATTGCAAGGCTTGACCAATGATGACTTGGAGATTAGAGGCTTTTTCCCAACTGTCTGGAGATCAGCAAGCCTCCTGTTTTCTTTATAAATTACCCAGTCTCAGATATTCCTTTATAGTAACACAGACAAACTAATACATACCACATGTTTTACTTATTTTGTTTAATGTCTGATGCCCTTTATCAGAATATCAGTTTCATGTGAATAGGAATGTTTTATTCATTGCTATATCCAGGGCCTAGAATAATGTCAGATACAACACTCAACAATATTGGGTTGATTTGTTTTGTTGAGATGGAGTTTTGTTCTTGTTGCCCAGGCTGGAGTGCAATGTCGAGGTCTTAGCCCACTGCAACCTCCACCTCCCAAGTTCAAGCGATTCTCCTGCCTCAGCCTCCTAAGTAGCTGGGATTACAGGTGCCCACCACCTGGCTAATATTTTGTACTTTTAGTAGAGACAGGGTTTCACCATGTTGGCCAGGCTGGTCTCAAACTCCTGACCTCAGGCGATCCACCCGCCTTGGCCTCCCAAAGTGCTGGGATTGCAGACATGAGTCACGGTGCCCAGCTAATACATATTGTTGAATGAATGAATGAATGAACAAAACCTCTATAAAAGCAGGTGTGATGGTTAATGCTGAATGACCCACCCTCAATCTGGGTGTGCCCCATCTAATCAGCAGCCAGCACAGCGAGAATAAAGCAGGCAGGAGAAGATGGAAGAGCCAACTTGCTGAGTCTTCAGCCTTCATCTTTCTCCCGTGATGGATGCCTCTGGCCCTCAAATATCAGACTATTTTCTTCAGCTTTTGGACTCTTGGACTTACACCACTGGTTTTCCAGGGACTCTTGAGTCTTTGGCCACAGACTGAAGGCTGCACTGTCAGCCTCCCTACTATTGAAGTTTTGGGACTCGGACTGGCTTCCTTGCTTGTCAGCCAATCAGACTGCCTATTTTGGGACTTCACCTTGTGATCCTGAGAGTTAATACTCCTTAATAAACTCCTCTTCATATACATCTACCCTGTTAGTTCTGTCCTGCTACAGAACCCTGACTAAAACAGTGAGTGAGTGCCTGTTCCCGGAAAAGTGGAGTGCTGAACACTTAAAATCATAGATGTGAGTCACAAGTCACAAGTGTAGCTTACCACAACAGCCTTCAAATTTCATTATTTCATGTTGCAGATGTGGAACTGAGGCAAAGAGAATAAAATCACCTAAAGCCATATAACAAAACTCCACCTTTCTGGACCAGCTTCCACGCTGCCTTCAACCACCCAAGTACCTCAAAGGGTCATTAATTAATAAGATTCAAAAATTAGCAACTCCAAATTTGTCACTAACCCCTCCACGGCTGCATTTCAGGGGCACTTTTCTGATCCCTGTCACAGGCATATATGCCTGGGAAAGCTGTTCTTTACAATGGCTATTTCTTTCTCTCCCTTCTTTCCTTCCCTCCTTCCTTCCTTCCTTCCTTCCTTCCCTCCTTCCTTCCTTCCTTCTTTTCTTCCTTCCTTTTTTCCTTTTCTTTTCTTTCTCCTTCCTTCCTTCCTTCCTTCCTTCCCTCCTTCCCTCCCTCCTTTTTTTCTTTTCTTTGTTTCTTGTGCAGCAGTGCAATCTCAGCTCACTGCAATCTCCACCTCCCAGGTTCAAACAATTCTCCTGCCTCAGCCTCCCGAGTAGTTGGGACTACAGGCATGTGCCACCATGCCCAGCTAATTTTTTGTATTTTTACTAGAGACAGGGTTTCACAGAGTTAGCAAGGATGGTCTCCATCTGACCTTGTGATCCACCCACCTTGGCCTCCCAAACTGCTGAGATTACAGGCATGAGCCACCATGCCTGGCCAACACAAAGGCTTTCTCAAATGTTGTTCACCTGTGCAACTTTCTATAGATAGTAGAATCAGAGAAAGTAGCAAATGATGAGTGCTATTAGACCACATAGTCCATCCAAGTTCTTCATTTAAAAAAGGATGCACAAAAAGATATTCCTGAAAACCAGGGAGCAAAAGCTGAGTATGCTCAAACCTGTGTGTAGACTTGAAAAAGACGTAGTTTGAAAGTCCAGAGAAAAGGTAAACATGTTCCATCTTTTCATGATTTCCATAATGAAATTTGAGAGAGCTGGAACTCTTTTTAAAAAAATCTTCTGGTAACGCAATTAAAGAACCCAGTGGCTGCTTGCACAAGGATCTCTGCTATGAACTGAGGAGTCTAAAGGAAATATGATATCTTTAGAAGTAGGCTTCTAGAAAATTTTCCTTTCTAAGGTACAAAATGTCTGTAATGTTTTTATTTTGACCATACGTTCCTTTTGTAATTAGGAAAAACAGTAGCAATAAAATAAACCTTAAAATTAAGCAAAGAATGTGTTTTTATTTTTTTTAAAGGAAGGGTAGATTTAAAAGAAAAAAAACCAAAAAACTAATACTAGGATTCATCACAAACATGTAGGAGTAAGGCCAGAAGAGCTGACATCCAATTGATCTGAGAATAGGAAAACATCCCAGAGACAGTAAAAGAAAACAAAACTGAAGTTTTAAAAAAGATCAAAAAAGAGATTTACTGTTTAAGGCCAATAAGATAAAGGTGATGGGAGACAAATGGCAAGCAAAGCTCTGACTTTTCCTGTCTTCTCCATCAAAGGGAACCATTTTTGGATGGAAATGGAAAAATCAAACAACTGATAAGAGAATAGTATGCATAAGAGTGAAAAGATTGGAAAGAGAATGGTATGCATAAGGGTGAAAAGATTGGAAGAGAGGATCTCTTGTACTAACTGAAATGAGATCTCCTGGTCTCAACAACTATATCTTAGGGTTGGGAGAGAGAGAAAATATGAGAACTTACAAAAGAGATTGCTTAAGGAAACAAACTTTTGCTAAACATACAGTATGTGCTGACACAGCATTTTCTTATAATTTCTATAGTAATTCCCAAGTTATGCTTGTGGAGAAAATAAAGTGTAGGCTGGGTGCTGTAACTTCACCACAAGGTAGATCTGATTACCCCCATTTTATAGGTGAGGAAACTGAAACTAAATGAGATTAGATAATAAGACCAAAAACACACTGCTAACATAGAGTAAGAGGACATGTCAGGAATTCCCAAGACCAACCTCAGTCTGGCTTCACTAGAAAAACTCAAGGATTCAGAAAAGCTATAATACTCATGGCTATAGTTTCTTATAGTGAAACGATACAGATTAAAATCAGCAAAAGGCAAAGCACATGGGACGAAGGCCAGTTATCCTCTCAGTTGACACATGCCCAGTGCTTAATTCTCCTAGCACTGAAGTGTGACAAAGGTGTATGAAGTGCTGCCAATTAGGGAAGCTCACCTGAGCCTTGATGTCCAGAGTTTTCATTGGGGATCAGTTATGTAGATATAGTGTCTCCATGACTGACCTTAGGTACTCAGTCTCTAGTCCCCTAGAGGTCAAACTGATACAGCGGTAGCTCAGGGCCTTAGGTATACCAAAACATTTTTATCAGGCAGGATACTCCACGGGCTCAGAGGTTGTCTCCCAGGAGCCAGTAAAGGGTCAGTCTTTTTTTGGAATATGCAGAACTTGAGTAGGGGCAGAACTAATAGGATAGATGTACACATAAAGGGGACCAGGCGCAGTCACTCATGCCTGCAATCCCAGCACTTTGGGAGGCTGACACAGGCAAATCATGAAATCAGGAGATTGAGACTAGCCTGACCAGCATGGTGACACCCCATCTCTACTAAAAATACAAAAATTAGCCAGGCATGGTGGCAAGTGCCTACAATCCCAGCTACGTGAGAGGCTGAGGCAAGTGAATCACGCCACTGCACCCCAGCCTGAGCAACAGTGCAAGGCTCCATCTCAAAAAAAAAAAAAAAAAGGCAATCAGATGAAGTATCCCCAGGAAGGTAGTTTGTTGAACCAAATAAAATTGCTGCTTTCTGTAGATCAAAACACTTTGGCTGGGCACGGTGGCTCAAGCCCTGTAATCCCAGCACTTCAGGAGGCCAAAGCAGGCAGATCACCTGAGGTCAGGAGTTCGAGACCAGCCTGCCCAACACAGTGAAACCCTGTCTCTACTAAAAATACAAAATTAGCCAGGCATGGTGGCACATGCCTGTAATCCCAGAAACTCACTCGGGAGGCTGAGGCAGGAGAATCACTTGAACCCAGGGTGGAGGTTGTAGTGAGCCAAGATCGTGCCATTGCACTCCAGCCTGTGCAACACACTGAGACTCTGTCTCAAAAAAAAATTAATATTAGTGATTTCAACATAATATTAACACCTGATAATCATTTGATGTGTCACTCCTCTAGGGGCATTTGCATTTTTGCCAGGGAATCCAGAAGACAGTGGCCCGGATTAGGAAGGGCAGACACTTGTGGACATGGAGACATTCTGATGCTTGCTAAATCACACCATGCCCAGCCTACATTTTCTTGACAGTTACTTCCATCAAGCTATACCAGTACCTCTTTATGGCATTGTCAACCCACATGCATTCAAATAAATTACTGTTCCTATCTCAGCTGACTCATTTGGCAGCAAAAACTAGTCCACCTGCCAGTGCATTCGCTGGCTCACACAACCTCTCTATCTAAAAGTATCCAGCGCATTTTCACGTTAATAAGCAAAAAGAGACAGCATGTCCTCTCTCCCTCAACTTAGGAGTTTGGCGTAAGACAAATGTGAACATTTTAAAGGGCAAAGAGGTGAAAATGAGGGCACAGGATGCAGAGGCCTGGGAGAATGAAGGTATTTTTCTATATATAAAAATAAGAGTACTAGAAGTTTCTCCCTTTTAGGTCCATAAGGAAATCCCTATAATTACTCCTGAGCCCTCAGAACATTCATTCAAGGAGCATAATGGATTCTCTACAATGTACAGAGTGTTATACAGGGACATTCGGGGCATTTAATAAAGTCTCAAATTAAACAGATATACAATTACAAATATTGAATTTTTATTAAATGGCATTAATATAAATATTCATACTATAACACATTAAATATATGTGATTATATGTGTTGAATACATTATAAATACAATAGAACAGGTTACTCTGGAATTGGTCAAATGTCTCTAATGCTGCCTAAATAATACAGTAGCTATGACTGGTTTTATGTTATTTAACATTCATTTGCATAACAAATGTTTATTATGCACTTGCTCAGTAATGGGCATGTGAAATAACGTTCATTTTGAGTACTGCTGCAAACAGAGGCATTCTTATAAACAGTTTGGAGAAGTGCTATCAGTATTTGTTTTTAAGTAGGCCCAGAGGATTTGGAATATTTAAAACCATTCTATATTCACATTTCAAAGATAACATACAAATTGTCTTCCTTGATTAATCTACACTATCATAGGCTGGGGAAATGTCCTTCTGTGACTTCAGTTTTCTTTAAACGTTTAATAATATTCTCCACTTGAGGAAGGGTTTAAGGCCAGCTTCAGAGACAGAGGTGATGGATGTTTCCCATTACCAGGTTGAATGAAAAGCCTCTTATGTAGCATGGTCTATGCCTAGAGGCGAACTGAGGGAGAAGGCTTTACCCTCTGTCATTTTTTATCTCAAAACTGAAAGCTTCAACCTTTCCTATTACTACTTAATTGAATTTGGAGAATCATGATCCTCTTTTTAAATATTTTACAGGCTTTTAAATTGTAAAATTGATGGCGGCGGGGCCACTGGCTGGAGAAGGTTTGGATATGTTTCTTCTAATCTGTGAGTTGGTATCTCTTCCACAATTTAAAAAACATTTGAATGTTTTGGCCAAGTTGAAAAATAAAAATATGCTCTCATCCTTGAAGCCAAGGCATAGCTGCCTAAGTTTCTTGATTTTTATGGTTAGCTTTAAGTACAGAAAAATATTTTAAAAAGGAAATCTTGATTATAAACGCTAAAATTACTTTTTACTGTTAACATTGGATTGCAGATTATTACTCTATGAACTTTACAGCAGGAAACTCAAGAATAATTTCTGACCTACACTCACATCTTACATCCACAATACACGCTATTTTCTGACTTTTTCTCGTCTCTTCTCCTACTTTTCAGCAGCATTAATTAAGCATGAACACCTGATCCTTTCTCGCCGCAGAAATAAAATTTACTTCTACTTTACAGAGTTTCTAAAGGGAAAGAAAACAATTCTTTCTTAGTTCATTTAAGACCACACTCAAAACTCAGTGGTGCTAAGCTTTGGTCTGTTTCTTAATCTGTACCATGGGAACTTAAAATTCATATCTGGGTTGTGAATTGGCGATGACATCTTGGTCAATAGCTGAACTGACTTATTTTATCCTGTTCTGCTGAAGGTTGTATCCCACCCAACAAATTTATCTTTGATAATAAAGAACTATTCCAGGAGGGACAATCTTTCTCCCTCTCTCTCTCTCTCTCTCCTCCCCATCTCTTCCCTCCCTTGGCACACATATATATATGAGAGAGAAAGAAAGAGATGGTGTGATGCAAGGCGATACCCGTTCAGTAAACACTGTACTTCAAGTATCCACACAATCATACAATCATTCTGTTTTTCAATTTTAGTATGATGTTCAATAAATTACATGAGATTCAACATTTTATTATGAAATAGGCTTTGTGTTAGATGGCTTTTCCCAACTGAAAGCTAATGTAAGTGTTCTGAGCACATTTAAGGTAGGCTAGGCTAATCTATGAGGCTCAGTAGATTAGGTATATTAAATGTATCTTTGACTTATGATGTTTTCCATTTACGATGAATTTACCGGGACACAATATAATCCCATCATAAGTCAAGGAGCATTTGTATATAGTTTTTAGAATAATATTAATATCCTGCTGTCTATACTACATAATAAATATTCCATATTTTGTCAGAAAGCTGGGATAGTTATGGAATCCACAAAGCTGCCAGTCTGTACAATTCATCAAACAGAAGGGCAAGCTCATATATAAAGTCTAGTCTTGATCCATTTCAAAGTTTATAGCCAATTTGTTTTATTAAACACACATACCTAATATTTACATATTTCATGGGCATAAATTTTATTTTCTGATTACAATGACGGCACATGTAGCTCATGCTCCAGCATATAACAGACGGAGGCCAGGCAAGAATTTTTAGACACAGCTCCATTTTATTGAGAGATAGCTTCTTTTCTGATAAATGGCTTTGAAAGCTACCGTGTAGCCTTTGCCTTTCTTCATCTCCCCCACCTTGCAGTTTGTCAGTGCACCTTTATAACCTGCTGGAAGAGAATTATAATCTGCAGTGTGACTTTGCCCGCCATTAATCTTCCTCCATTTTGGGGATTTGAGAGAAGAAATCCCTAGAGCATGTTTTCCCCTGGCCTCTGAGTCATCCTGTTGGTTTCTTTAGTCACAGATAAAAGAGCAATCTTGTGCTCTCACTGCTGGTCTCTGGGGGCAGGGCCAGCCACGCAACTGCAGATTTTTCCATGGTTTCACGCTTGTCACCAACCAGCAGAAAATCAACCCTATCAACTCCAGTTAAGGTGTCACTATAGGCAGAAGATGTTTTCACAGCCAGGACACGGCTGTGAAAATTAGTAAATGACACATGCAATTGAAATCTTAAATATATTATCATTCAGGGTTTGGGGGAAGGATTCTGTTAAAAGCTTTCATAAAATAACATTTTCTGCCAGCAGCAGCATTTTATCATCAGTTGCAATAACTAACTCCCTAAATGCATGACTTCCCTTAAAGTCATGAATAAGCCAATTCTGATTCCTGAGTACATAAATTGTCCAGGATGTCTCTTCCAAGTACCAAATTACACCTCCATATTCTGCCCAGAGAAGAGCCCTGAGAGAATCTTATCACTTTGTATTATTCCTTGACATACTCCACCGTGGTAGGGTAAAGGATACAACTCTGGTCAATGTCACGTGTAAATTACACCACTCGAAAGTGTCTTCAATGTCTGTCACTCAGTCTCGTGATCAAAATTACTGGAAGGTGCAATGTGTCCGCATGTATTTCTTTTTTCACTGAGACATATAAATTAAAACTCAGGAAACATTTTTATCTCTAGAATCACTGGTTACTGACTGGGTCCATTCAAGATTCATCAAACACCTTCTGAAAATAGAGCTTTTGTTTCAGGTTCCATGCTAAAGAAGTTCTGGGGCAAATGTACTTCCTAGAGTTCCCAAGTACAACAGTAGCTGGCCCAGGAAAGGGAAATTATCTATTCTGGGAATCCTAGTGGTACCACCAGAAAATCATACTGACAATTTAATAACATTATTTAAATGTTACATGTTTATATAAATTAATGCTTCACAAACTACTTATGGTAAAAGACAATTTTTTAAATGTCCAATCCATTATACACTGATACTTTTATAAAATACAATGAAAATGAACTACTAAAAAATTAAATTAAAAAAAAAAACCCAGAAGCTGGCTACAGTGGTGGCTCACACTTGTAATCCCAGCACTTTGGGAGGCAGAGGCAGGTGAATTGTGCCAGCCCAGGAGTTCGACACCTGCCTGGGCAACATGACAAAACCCTATCTGTACAAAAAATACAAAAATTAGCTGGAGCTGGTGGTGTGTGCCTGCTGTCCCAGTTGTTTGGGAGGCCGAGGCAGGAGAATCACCTGAGCTGGGGAAGTTGAGGCTGCAGTGAGCTACGATCGTACATGGATTGCAGTCCAGCCTGAGCAATAAGAGAGACCCTGTCTTCAAAATAAATAAATAAAAATTAATTAATTAAAATGTTAAAAGTCCATAATACAATGCCATATTTATTATTATTACACTGTGTTAAATTCCTATAAATGTTCTCAAATATTTATTCACAATTTCTGTATTTATCTCATGACAGTTCACCCACTGGTGCAGGTCTATAGGTCAGACTTTAAGTAACACAACCTGAACCATTGCTTTTGTGCTTTATATATCCTCATAGGCTTGGATATATTGAAATTGAATTGAGATGCAAACTTTTTCAAGGAAATCTTATCTCAGAAGAGGAAAGATACCTTGTTAGTTCCGTGGTACATATCCCCCAAATGAAGCTCATCTTTTCCTTTCTGGGGATGAAATATTGTGGCATAAGCACAGGTTTGGGATGCAGACCTAGGTTTGAATACCAATCTGTATTTGCTGGCTGTGTGATCTTTAGTAAGTTACTTAACCACTCTGAGCGTTTTTCGTAATCTGTAAAATAGGGTTCCCATAACAACGTCCTCTGAAGACTGTTATGAAGATTAAATGCAACAATGTATAAAGTGTATCTTGAATGAAGTGAATAGGCATTACATGGAACTATCGTTATTTATAATAAATGGCAGCTCACTAAACTGGGAGCTCCTGTAAGACAGGTTGTGGAAAATGAAACAAAACCAAACCCACAAAAAATATTTTTCTTCGTATATGCCCCAACTTCTAGCTCAGTGCCCAAAAATAAATGCTTATGAGTGTAAAGAGAAAGGAAAACGAAAGAAAGTAGTGAAAAAGAAAGAAGGAAGAGAAGAAAAAAGAAAGCAAAGAAAAATGGCAATGCCAGCGAGAAAAATTGAAGGTTTTTCTCCCTTTAATGAGTTTCAGAAAATGTTTCATTATATTAATAACCTGCAGAAATTGGAATGGGTGAGACATAAATTCCTTGGTTAGCTACCAATGAGGGTTCAAAGTGGGGTCACTATCTTTCACTGGCAATGACACCACAGTCACTGAACTATCTTTCAGTGGGTACTTACTGAGCAATGTACCCAGCACAGTGTTAGGCAGGCAAAGTGTGGAGTAACATGACTCAGACACATCTATTTCATTGGAGATGAAAAAAGATTACATAGCTTGATAGCTCTTGAAAACTAGAAGTTGTTCATAGCTTCAAGAAGAGACATACTTAGCGTTTTCGTTGTTGTTGTTGTTTTTTTTTTTTTAAGAACAAATAAAAAGAAAGACTATCAGTAATCACTAATGGGTAACTTCAGCTGGGTACCATTATACAGGGTGCTCTACTGTAGCAGATCTTGCTTTGCAGATGGAAGTGGTGGCTCACGCCTGTAATCCCAGCACTTTGGGAGGTGGAGGAAGGCAGCTCACTTGAGGTCATGAGTTTGAGACCATCCTGGCCAACATGGTGAAACACCATCTCTACTAAAAATATAAAAATTAGTCGGGCATGGGGGTGTGTGCCTATAATCCCAGCTACTTGGGAGGCTGAGGCAGGAGAATTGCTTGAAGCGGGGAGGCAGAGGATACAGTGAGCTGAGATCGTGCCACTGCACTCCAGCCTGGGCAACAGAGTGAGACTGCATCTCAAAAAAAAAAAAAAAGTGATGGCATAGGCTGAGTGAGGCTATTTATCCCTCTTTGGGATTGCTGATAGGCACTGCAGAGTACTATTTCTTTTTGCAGAAGACATCAGTTATTTTAGTGTGTGTTCCCGGACCATGATCTTTTCTAAAAGGTTGTTACCTGGCTACAGACACAATAGGAAATGATATTGGTCTTTGGCCTTTTAAGATTAGAAGAATAAGTCCTAGAAGCTGACAAACTCAAAAGTATTTAATAAAGGCCTTTTCCCCTTCAATGCATTAAACATTTGTAAGCATCAGAATTCTATGTGTATAATTAGTAACGTACAAATGTAATGTCTCATCTTGAATATCTGCATAATTCAACCCATTATGACAAGATAGCAGGCAGAGTTGGACATTAGAAGAATCAGACCACCCAGGGGAAAACGAATTAAATAATTTTATAGACCTTTGATTTCCTCCTAGCTCAGTGGGACTTTGATTCCTGGTTTAAAATTATAAGATTTATCATCATTCGTCTTACAATTAAAATATGCTCATTTTTCAAGTAGTAATACTCTAATGAAAATTGAGGAAGAAATTACTGGGACACAATGGAATGTGGAGCTTTAAGAGCTTTCAAAAAATTATCAATATAAACCACTGGTTATTTAGGGTCGATGACAGATCTTCTTTTGTTTTCGCAAGATATAAAAGAGAAAGTGATTTGTATAGTTATCTTCCCTTGTCAGTGATAAGCAAAGATGGAGACTTTGACCAATCTTGACATATACACGCTCTATTTGTGGTGGAAATCATTTATAAAATACCATAGCACAGAATGTGCGTCTGTATTGAAACTGTGATGCCCCCAGATATGTCCCTGAAGTAGTATAAGGAAGCAGTGTTCCGTGTTTAACACCATCTCTCAATTATTTTAGCACGGCTTTTCTTTGCTGGCTTTTTTCTTTTCTGCTTTTATTATGTTTTAAAATTTACACACAATAATTTTACATATTTAGGGGCTACCATGTGATATTTCAATAAATTTTTGAATAAAATATACCATAAATTATTGTCAATTATAGTCTCAATTTTTAACTACATCTGAAGATACTGAGATCCTACCCTCTGGATATACCTACAGTAACCCTCTTGTGACTTTTGGTCCTAAATTAGCCTTCAAAAATGAGATAAATTCAAGATGATTTTACATTGTTAATCAGGAGATTCAAACTCTTTCTCTTTTTCGTCGTTGTGTTTCACCTCTCTGAGACCTAGATGTGGTAGTTTCATTGCCCCAATATGCTGAAATACCCTAAAAGGTGTGTGTGTGTGTGTGTGTGTGTGTGTGTGTGTGTGTTTTAATTGAGACAGAGCTTCGCTCTTGTCACCCAGGCTGGAGTTCAGTGGCACGATCTCGGCTCACTGAAATGTCCGCCTCCCAGGTTCAAGCAATTCTCCTGCCTCAGCCTCCCAAGTAGCTGGGATTACAGGTGTGCGCCACTATGCCTGGCTAATTTTTTGTATTTTTAGTACAGACAGGTTTCACCATGTTGGCTAGGCTGGTCTCAAACTCCTGACCTCAGATGATTCACTTGCCTGATCCTCCCAAAGTGCTGGGATTATAGGCACGAGCCACTGCGCCTGGCCAAAAGGTATATTTTCATGTGTCTTATTCCTTTACAGTCTTTGCAGGCAAGGCCCTGGGAGAATGGTGGAGTAGCAAGCTTCTGCACTTCTCTCTAAGGCTGACTGTCTCACATCTCTTCAATTTCAGTGCTACTACTGTCCTTTTACATCCCCTCACCTCCATCAAACTTTTCTGTGGGTCCTCTTTTATACTAACGTTCAATTAACTGATAAGAACCTAAATTTCATCTGGGTTGGGGTTCTCAACCCAGGAGTAAAGATTCACATGGTCTGGCCTTACACCAGACAAGGAACCCGAGTCACTGGGAGTGAGAACCAGGAATTCTGATTTTTAAAAAGCTCATGAGCATTTCTGATTAAGAATTATTATACTCACCTTCCATTAGAATCTGCATTTTAATAGGTTCAAAATCTGCAACTAAACCCACTACGACCAAATGAAGAATTTTAAGTAGCTATGGGAGACAGCCGCAGAAAGCTGAGAATTCCCCAGACATAATGGGTGAAGGGGCTTCGGCTCCAAATTCCTTGCTTGTAACAACTACACTTTTTTGAGCAAAAAAACTAGTTTATAAAGTTTTTTTCTTTTTCTTTTGTTATTGTTGTTGAGACAGAGTCTTGCTCTGTCACCCAGGCTAGAGTGCAGTGGTGTGCCATCTCAGCTCGCTTCAACCTCTGCCTCCTGGGTTCAAGCAATTCTCCTGCCTCAGCCTCCCCAGTAGCTGGGATTACAGATGTATGCCACCACACCCAGCTAATTTTTGTATTTTTAGGAGAGATGGAGTTTCACCAAGTTAGCCAGGCTGGTCTTTAACTCCTGACTTTGTTATCCTCCGGCCTCGGCCTCCCAAAGTGCTGCAGTTACAGGCATGAGCCGCCATGCCCAGCCAAAGTTTTTTTTTTTCTTACTAAAAACTGTATGTTCTTTATAGGAAGTATGAAAAAATACAAAAAAGGAAATAAAAACCATGTAAGATATAGAACTCAACATTTTTGCTTATTTCCCTCCATTCTTTAGGCAATTCTATTTTTTATTCTGGTGCTTCCAAACAATTGGCTGTGTTATTTTCTGCCAGCTAAAATAATTTCGTTCTTTGAAAGTAGGACCAGGCCGGGCGCGGTGGCTCACGCCTGTAATCCCAGCACTTTGGGAGGCCGAGGCGGGTGGATCATGAGGTCAAGAGATCGAGACCATCCTGGTCAAAATGGTGAAACCCCGTCTCTACTAAAAATACAAAAAATTAGCTGGGCATGGTGGCGTGTGCCTGTAATCCCAGCTACTCAGGAGGCTGAGGCAGGAGAACTGCCTGAACCCAGGAGGTGGAGGTTGCGGTGAGCCGAGATGGCGCCATTGCACTCCAGCCTGGGTAACAAGAGCGAAACTCCGACTCAAAAAAAAAAAAAAAAGAAAGTAGGACCTATATCTTTCTATCTCTGGAACACACACAGACACACACACACACACACACACACACACACACACACGAGTGCCTAACATACTGCCTCTAACATTTTATGTGCTCAATAACTATATGGAGATGGAATGAATTCAGTAACCCAGTTTTGGACTCCTTTTTGAGGCATGCCTGTAAACATAGTAGCAAGTATTATAATGACTTCTATTCCTTGCTTTCCCCATCAGCTTTAAAAGATAATATCTTAGAATAATTATGGAAAAATAGAGTTATCAAATGCAATTTGAGTAGCCCTTTGCTGTTTCAAAATAACTAAATGGCAATTTTTAAATTTAAAAAAATCAACCTTCTAAGTAATAAGACCTCTGCTTCTATATTAATTTCTTCCAAAAAAGATCATTTTAAATGCCATTCAGCACATGCAACAGTCAAGTCAGGATTAGGTTTGGTTGCATATATCAGTAAACCCAAACAATGGTGACTTAAACAAGAAAAAGTCCAGAAATGGGTAGTCCAGTGCTGGAATGGTGATTCCATGGTCACTCAGACTCAAGCTCCTTATTTCTTCCTACTCTACCTTATTTCATGTGTGGCTTCTATTCTTAAAGTTATGTACAAATATGGCAGGAGGAGTGCTACCCTATACATCCATATTGTTCATACAGGAAAGAGTGAAAGAGAAAAGGACAAGAGAGAGAGCATCTTGGCTGAGTTAGTGCCCTGGAGGGAGCAATATCCCGGAAACTACATCCATCAATTTCTATCTACATCTCAACTGGGCTGTAGTTTCAAGGGAAGCTGGAAAATGTGGTCAGTGCTACCAAGAATATAATCAAGATAAAAGAGGACAGCAGATATTATACAGGCAAGTCACAGTCTCTTCTTCCACAGCAAATTAGTTTATTTAACAGTTAAGATGCTTTGGCTGCAAAAAACAGAATATCTGTGAATAAATGGCTTACACCGTGCTTTTTATCCTACAAACTAAGGGTGGTTGAGGGTTAGTGCAGCAGCTCAACAAATGCTACCAAGGTTCAGGTACCTACCATCCTTCTGTTATCCCAGTCATAATATACCAACAATGTATTTTTTATGGTCAAAAGAAAGACCACAGTGGTTATCAGATGCCCTCACATTACAACATCCAAACATGGAAAGGAACAAGTTCTCATTTGTGTTTCTTTCAGGAAGAAACCTTCCCTGAATTCCTCCCACCAAACTTCTTGAGCATCACATGCACACACTTAAGCCAATCATTAGCAAGAGTAACAGATCACAACAATTGGTTTAGACTGACTCATCAACAATTCCCTCCTGGGGTTCAGTATGTGGGAAGGTAAATACTTGAATAAAATCGGGGCTCATGTACCAAGGAAGAAAGGAGGCAGGCAGAAAAGTGGGGAGGAGTGGCTACTGGATACCTAATAGTTCCTGTTTGCCACACGTGCTCTGTTTCACAAAACACAGTGACTTACAAACGTTCTCCTGAGTCACACATACTTAGGAAATTTCATGATACCTCACTCATTACTTAGATGGTATTTTCTTTCAAAAGGGCAAGACTCAAGGCTGAGAGCAGACAATGAATGAATCATTAAACTAATTCGCAGGTGCAGATTTCTATTTCAATAGCTGTAGAAAAATAAAAGGAGCTACCTTTTGATGAATAGCATTAGTTCTCATTAAGTATTATACATTTAGCATTACAATGGCCTTGGGGGAAAAGGACAAAAAAAAAGTAGCCATTATTTTAAAAATAAAATAATAATCAAATAATTTGCATTCTCCCATAGCGACGATAATACATTTTTATTGGCTGTTCTCTTTAAACCCCTAAAGACTTTCACTGGTCAGTGTAAAATTAGCCTTTTTCTGTAATAACATTGTGAATCATATTGTATGTACTCCCCACTCTTACCCCAAATAGAGCAGCCCAGGCTCACATGTTGAATGTTTGAATTTCCTTAGCTACAAGATGAAATATTTGACTTAAGTTCTCAAACCCTAGGCCCTTCGGGTTTAAAACCTAAGATCTCAAAACCTAAGCCCCAGGGTGTTTCTGGGAGTTGAGGCACAGACAAGCGAATCCACCTGGGGGAGTTAAATTCCCTGGGACTGAGTAAGGGAGTAAAACATGGTGGCAAGTTCTCCAGTGTGTGAGGCCCATTTCCACCCAGCACTTTGGCGCCGACTGGTTGTCTGATATGCCCGTATGGAGATTGTACCCCCTGCACTGTGGCCTGGAGAGCAGTCTCTGGCTCATGCAAGTTTCTGTGGCAGTGCTTCTGAAGCCTGCCCAAAGCACTGCTGCCCAGCAACAGGGCATGTAGTTTAAAAAGCAATCAGCAAAGATGGCAATTACTGTGGAATCTGGGCTGTCCTTATTTTCTTAAAGTCAAGTAAATTCTTGTATGCTTAGGATCCAATGGAGACAGGGAAGGAGTTTTAAAGTGACAAAAACGACCAGCATCTATCCAATAGTCACTCTTTCTAAAAAACAAAACGGCTAAGTTATTAGAGGCAGCTGTACCTGCCTTAAATGCTGCATTGCCTGCCTTTCCTACACCTGTAGTCAATGAGAAAGCGAAGTCAAGGCCTTTAGAAAAAGGCCATATGCTCTTTAGGCTTTCCCTTCTTCCTCTAGAAATAAGGAAATCATGTCCGGAAGTCCAACTGCTATCTGTTAACCCTGAGGATGAGAACCACTCACTAAAAATTACAGAGCAGGAATATAGGAAGAGCCCCAGTTTCTAGCTCAGGGCTCTCTCCTTTGAGAATTTTACATGAGATATTAACCCTTACCTTTTTTAGTATTGTTGATCTGTCTCTATTACTGACAGAAGCACTAACATCCTATAAAGTACATGGTGTGCTTTGGCCAAGGAATAGGTCCAGGCAGAAATTCAGGCCTGCATGACTCAGCAGGATTGGTGCACAGGCGCACACCTCCAATTGTTGTATAACCTGTTTGTGTAAGCTCATGCTTGACTTGGAGCCATTATTGTCTGAAAATGTATAACTGCCCTGCTTGTGCGGTACAGGTCCTCTTGGGCATGGCTCAGCTCAGCTCAGCATGACATTTGGTGTAGTCATGGACCTGACACCTCCTAACCAGTTCATATAATTCTCACAACCTTGGAAGTACTATTATGACTCATCCTTTTTTTTCTTTTAACATGGTGAAGGGCTGATTAATCATAGAGTCAGAATTCAAGCACAATTTTATCTACTCTAAAGCACACACTTTCAATTATCAAGCAACCTGGTAAATCAAGTGGAATGATTTTATGCAAAGGGGAGAAGAGATGTAGATACCAGAGCAAAAACCAGGTAACCAGAAACCAATGGAAAGGACTCTTAGAGAAATGTGTGTGTGTGTTTGTGTGTGCTCATAGTAGCTAAGTCCCCCAAATACAATCATGCTAAGGAGGCAGCAGCTCCATCTGTTTCTGAGTCCCTGATCATTGCATTTGAGATATTTCTGAGCTTGAAACCTCAAGTCAAGATTTAAAATATGCCTAGTAGTAAGTCCACTAATTGAGTTAATTTAGATGCCAATCCTATTAAGTCAAAGCCCAAAGAAAAAATTTTGATCTGAATTAACTAGTTTAATTGTCTGCAAAGTCCAAATTGACCAAATAATTGCAAGTTAATCCTTTCATTTAATGGTTTGTACAGCCTCCCACTCTGATTGGAAATGGGATATTTGTACTTTTAGAATTCTTTACTTCTGTAACAGTTATGACTCCTTTCACCACGCTCTGTTATAAATATCAGGAGACATTTGGCAATGTATGGAGACATTTTTGGTAGTCACATCTGGGCAATGTTACTAGTATCTAGTGAGTTGAGGCCAGGGGTGCTGCTAAACATTCTGCAATGCATAGGACAGACCCCTGAACAGAATTACCCAGGCCAAAACACCAGTACTGTTACTGCTTAGAAACTGTGCACTAGTCAAACACTACTTAGTAAAGGGAGAATTAGGGACTTTAACCTGCTAATAACAGCCCAATCCATTACTTCAGGCTTCAAAGTAATATTTAAACCTGGCCTGTTGATTCATCGAATTAAGCAGGTAATTGATCATACTTCATTTCACTTTTCCATTGTAGATGTAGCCAAAAAGTGTAGCTCATAGGTTTCCAAAATCCTTCATCCTTTCTCTTTCAAGTCTTTCTGTTTACTGGAAGGTCATTAAGTTGCTTTGCTTTTGAAGTCCATTTATTACATCTAGATCTAGTGCAGTCTATTTAGTCTTTCTTAATGCCGTCTAGTAAAACATTAATGAGAGACTCACGCATAGTCATAGAATTTGTCTGATTACCTCATTCATTTTTAATGAGCTTGCTGCTTACACTTCAGAATAACATAAC